GGGCATCACACCAGATAGTCAATTGTGCTTTCCAATATTCTCTCCTGTTACCGGTCGACCATTCGAGGCGACAGATGGTACATCATTGCTCACAGAGATGATGACTGAAATATTAACAGAGAGCATTCAGTGGGATCAGACCATTGATGGCGTATCCGCAGGTCTGAAACGGCTTTCACCAGATGTTGTGCAACTCTGGAGTTTGCAACCTTCACATTATATGGAGAGCGTCCTTGGGCGATGGAAGACAGAGCTTCCTTCTACAACTCTATCTCAACAAACGATGATGCCTACCGTAATGAATCTGACTCCGGAACAAAGTCCACCACGTGACGCAAAGTCCGCCAAAATTGCAGTCGTTGGTATGGCATGTCGATTCCCTGGTGGCGCAGATGATACTGAAAAGTTTTGGGACTTGTTGGCGCAGGGTCGTGATGTCCATAGACCGGTACCGGCTGATCGGTTCGATATCGAAAGCCATGTAGATCCGACAGGAGAGAAGTCTAACACATCTAGAACACCCTACGGCTGTTTTGTTGACAACCCAGGACTATTTGATGCTTTGTTCTTCGGTATGTCTCCGCGTGAAGCGGAGCAAACTGATCCCATGCATCGATTAGCTCTAGTTACAGCTTATGAAGCCTTGGAAAGTTCTGGTTATGTTCATGGCAGAGGTGTTCATCAGCGTCGTGTCGGCACATTTTACGGATGCGCGAGCGATGATTACCGTGAAGTCAACACTGGTCAGGATATAGGAACCTATTTCATTCCTGGCGGATGTAGAGCTTTTGGTCCTGGTCGCATAAATTATTTCATGAAGTTCTGGGGGCCAAGTTATAGCATCGATACAGCTTGCTCGTCAAGTTTGGCAGCTATTCAAGCCGCCTGTACATCTCTCTGGAGCGGCGATATTGATATGGCAATTACTGGTGGTATGAATATTATCACAAACTCAGATGTTTACGCTGGCTTGAGCAAGGGCCACTTCTTATCACCTACTGGAAGCTGCAAAACATGGGATGAGGGAGCAGACGGTTACTGTCGTGCTGATGGCGTTGGCAGTGTGGTTCTCAAGCGATTAGAAGACGCTGAAGCTGACAATGACAATATCCTCGCGGTCGTTCTTGCTGCAGGTACTGATCATTCGGCTGAGGCTGTATCCATCACACATCCCCACGACTTAGCACAGATTCATCTTTTCAACCAAATGGTCAAGCGTTCTGGAATTGATCCATTGTCTGTAGGATATGTCGAGTTTCACGGAACTGGCACTGGTGCGGGAGATCCAACCGAAATGAGTTCGGTTACCAAAGTCTTCGCTAACGGGCAGCCGAGAACCACAGACCTTCATATTGGATCTGTGAAATCCAATGTTGGTCACGGGGAAGCTGCTGCTGGTATCATGGCGTTCATTAAAACCATGCTTGTTTTCCAAAAGAGTACTATCCCTCCACATGTTGGTATCAAGACTGGGCTGAATCCGGCTTTGCCCAAGGATTTGGACCAAAGGGGCATTGTTATACCATACACTGCCATGCCATGGAAAAAGAGCAGTAGTCAGAAAAGGTTGGCAATGGTAAATAACTTTGGAGCAGCCGGAGGAAACACAGCAATGATAGTGGAAGAAGCAACGGAGCGTCCAAGGATTGGCGAAGATACTCGACCTATGCACCCCATCACAATCTCGGCAAAAACACCATATTCACTTCAAGAAAACCTCAGACGTCTCGTGAATTTCATGGAAACGCAACCACATGTTTCTATCGCAGATTTGTCTTACACTTTGTCTGCACGAAAGATGCACTACAATTACCGAGTTTCGGTACTTGCATCTTCTCTCGAGGATGCTGCCAAACTTCTTCGCCCTCATATTGATACAGCCCTCGATCAGCTACCTATCAATCCAAAGCAGATTACAGTAGCTTTCGCTTTCACTGGCCAAGGAACATTCTACATCGGCATTGGAGCACAACTTTATCGCGACTCTAGGCCTTTCCGAGAGCAAGTAGACCGACTTGATGGTATTGCGCAGCGTCAAAAGTTTCCTTCCTTTTTGCCTATCATCAAAAACACCTGCGATATCAAGGATTTACCCACAGTATCTCTTCATCTGGCTATCGTGTGCGTAGAGATCGCTCTCACACGACTCTGGGCTTCTTACGGGGTCACTCCAAGTATCGTTATAGGCCACAGTTTGGGTGAATATGCTGCATTGAATACCGCAGGAATCATTTCTGATAGTGATACTGTTTTCCTTGTCGGAACACGCGCAAATTTGCTCGAGACACACTGTAAGGCTGCTACACATGGCATGCTATCAGTTCGAGCGTCCCACGAAAAGATTTTGAAAGCAGCCGATGGCATTCTCTTCGAAGTTTCTTGCATCAATGGTCCCGAGGAAACAGTACTCGGTGGAAAATTGGAAGACCTGGAGGCTCTTGCGACCGTTCTTGGAAGATCAGGCTATAGGACCATAAAACTTAATGTACCCCATGCCTACCACACAAGTCAGATGGATGTTCTGGTGGATGATTTCGTCAAATTGACAAGTGCTATTATGTTCAAGGCACCCAAAATCCCAGTCATATCACCTCTTTACTCCAAAGTTCTTACGTCTGGAATCGATGTCAGTTACTTGGCCAAGGCAACTCGAGAAACAGTCGATTATGTTGGCGGACTCAATGCTGCTTGGGAATCTGGTGTTTTGTCTAAATCTACCCTGTGGTTAGAGATCGGTCATCATCCTTGCTGTGTTAGCTTCATCGCAAAGACATTATCGGACACTCGACTGACATCTCCAACAATGCACCGAGACCAAGACAACTGGATCACGCTTGGCAAGGCACTCACATCTCTGTATAATGCCGGCGTGGCCATCGATTGGACAGAGTACCACTTACCTTTCGAACAGGCTCTTCGATTAGTCGATGCCCCAACATATGCATGGAACAACAAGAACTATTGGATTCAATACAGTGGAGACTGGAATTTGACCAAGGGTCAAGCGCTATCAGATCCCACCTTCACAAAGGCCATAACTCCAGCTGTCAAGGGTTTCCGCACTACAAGTATCCACGAGATTCGTTCGGAAAACTACACTGAAACCTCAGCCCAAATTGTGACTGAGTCGGATATGACTGATCCGGCGCTCAAGGACGTTATCGAAGGACATGCCATGAACAACTATGGAGTTGCTTCTTCTGTAAGTTTATTGATTAGTGTTCATTGACTAAAAGACTTCTTTTCTAACATCAGCAGTTCCTCCATGCAGATATGGCTTTCACAGTCGCGAAACGTATTCTCGATAAAGGTATTCCAAATTCTTCGAATGTTGGCATCAACGTTACCGACTTTGAGTATCATGAACCTGTGGTCAAGCATTACAACCCAACAGAAGCGCAGCCAATTGTGGTGAGTGCCGAGGCCGATTTAGAAAAAAGACAGGCTCATGTCAAATGGTACAATCCCGCCAAAAATCTATGGTATTGCCACGCAACTATCTCTTACGAAGACCCATCATCTTGGTTATCAACATGGTCTCGTTCATCAGGCCTTGTGACAAGTCGTATTGCAGCTCTTAATGATCTAGCCGCCCGCGGTCATGCCGATAAATTGACAGCCAATCTTGCATACAGTCTCTTTGGAAAATTGGTCGGCTACTCGGATATGTATCGAACAATGAAGTCAGTAATTCTGAATAAAGATGAAGCTGTTGCGGAAGTGGAGTTTCCTTCCGACACCGCTGGTAATTGGACGGTACCTCCTCATTTTATTGATGGATGTGTCTCCTTATCAGGTTTCATACTGAATGGGGGCACGTATTTCGATAACAACAAATACTTCTACATCACACCATCGTGGAAGTCCATGAGGTTTGCAAAGCCGCTTGCACCTGGTGGGAAATACTTAGCATATGTCCGAATGGTCCCTGCGGATAAGAACAACTTCGTAGGCGACGTCTACATTCTCCAAGGAGATGAAATCGTTGGTGTTGTCGAAGCCATTGTCTTCACTCAATGGCCACGTGTGATGCTAGATCGTTTCTTCCGCCCTCCCCCTCTCAAGGCCGCATCTCATGCTTTAGATGCCTCTAAAGTCGCCCTCTCTCTCGCTTCGTTGGGCTCGGGTGCCACTACCTCCAAGTCGCAATCATTCCAACAATCACCGTTCGCGGGTGACTCCAAGGTCGTCACTGGTCTACTAACTCCTCCTTCACCGGCACGGAGCGTTCACGAAAAAGACAGCAAATATGAATCACCGACTTCGAAAACAGCAGCTTCAGGCTCGTACGTCCGCGCTAAAGAAATCATAGCTGAAGAGTTGGCCGTTGATATTCGAGTGCTGACTGATGATGCAAATGTCGCTGATTTCGGGTTGGATTCACTCATGTCTCTTGTTATCTCTCAGAGATTGCGCGAAGAGCTCAAGACTGAAATTCGAGACGCTTTCTATTTGGAAATATCGACCTTTGGGGATTTGAAAACTTTGATTGGGTAGATATGGAATCGTGGTGTTTGGGCGTTTGGGCGTTTGGATTGTAGTAGATATTAGAATAGATACTAGATATTCATTAAATGTAATTTGTTTCTCTCGCGTAGCATCGTTTCTGTCTACTATTTTTACCAGGGTACCTGGGTGTTGTCTGATTTTCAAGAGAACACCAGACGACACTTATTTCTCAGTACCATGATTATACCTCATCTTAAACATTCCGATTATATGTAAAGAATATAGTGCATCTCAAAATGGTCATGACTTGGCTTGCTTTTATTACTGATCCAAAGGAAGGAGAATCTATAAAATTGTAGAATCACATAGAAACCGGTTCGGCGATTTATCCTATTGAATAATTCTTATGATTAAATAACGACACTAAAATACCCCGGCTTTTCGAAACACCCATTCATGTACATCTGTAATGAGATACAATACAATTTCTCAGACGACCGTCTATTCAACCATTGAACACAGTCCAATGATATACAGTAATCCAGCCAAATCTATTGTCCCTTGAATTTACCAGCTTTGGCTTCCTCAGCAGCAATCTGCGCCTCAGTATGGTGAGGCTCGCGCTCCTCGATGGTAGAGTCGCGTTGATTCTTAGAAGCTTTGGCCTTCTTAGCAGCAATTTGGGCTTCAGTGTGGTGAGGTTCCCTTTCTTCTACATCACGTTGACTTTTGGAAGCTTTTGTCTTTTTTGCTGCGATTTGTGCTTCGGTGTGGTGTCTACTTTCAACGTCGCGTCCATTCTTCTTCCCGGCCTTGGCTTCCTTGGAGGCAATCTGTGCTTCGGTGTGATGTGCTTCTCTCTCCAAAACATCGCGCTGTCCCTTTCCTTTTGCCTTTGCCTCCTTGGCGGCGATCTGGGCCTCAGTGTGATGGCGATTGATGAGACCAGGAATTTCGCGAGTCTCGATGGATTTTATGCCTGCACCAGCCTTTGAATCTGGTTAGTGGCGGTCTTATGCATGTAAGTGTATTTGAAGGATATGGCTTACGATAGACTTTTTATCAATGGAGGGAATAGCAAGAGCCGATGTGAATGGGGTAGAGAAGAGAAGGCCCACAGCGAGCAGAATGTTGATGGATGGAGCATGCATGATGATCGAAGTGGAGTGTATTTGGATAAAGAATATAATGTTGAGAATATAACAAGGGTACTGGCCGGCAGTGAACGAATGAAAGAATGTAGAGAAGAGAGGTAAGAAAGGAAGCTCAAAAGATGGCGTGAGAAGTGGTGTGATAAAGGAGAAGGCTTTGAGAGAACTAGAGCGACTTTATACATATCCAAGAACGATATCAAACAGATAAGATAGGGGTAAATGTTGTCATAGGTTTCTTCAGATGATTTCCCGACTTGGGACCAAATCCAGCACGTTGGTACATGTTACTCCCGCCTCCAGGGTACTCGAGACACAATGTGAATGATAGTCGCAATCGATTTCGTATACAACGTTGCAGTAAACTCATTGTGGTTGGTAAATGATGAGGTGGACTTGCACCGTTGTATCGCCTGAGATAGATCAATAATAGCTATTTTAAGACCGAGTACCCATACATTGTCAAACGATAGTCGCATCTGAAGTAAATGCGGAGGATTGATAACCGCTGACCAAGTTCAGAAAGTTCAGACGGTTGTTGCAATATGGTGCGGCATTAATCAACATCTAGTAAATGAGAGGAAAGTATAGCCTAGCTAACACAAGCAGTCCCTTTTAATCCTAGAATATCTCATGTATCAGATGCAACTAAGAAGGCTTGTAAAGATTCGGATGAGAAAGCTAAATTCCTAGATAATTTGAAAGCAATAAGCATCCTCAAGGCTGATTTAGACTTCTAAGTGGAGCTAACCGAGCTTCTGGTATATTGATGTATGAATGAACGACACAATCGTAAATACGATCCACATGTATCCAGATAGTTATTGATAAGTTGAATGCACCAAGCTGATGATATTCTACCAACAACATTGATTTTGATTCTACTCTAATTGTTGATGAATATTTGCTGGGATGGAGCGTTCGCTTACATAAAACGTAGGCTTGTCCCGCAGTTTCACCCAGCTAGAATAGCCTAAAATACCCGGGGACTCCTGCCATTTCCCTGCTTCCAATTTTTTCAACTGTCAAACATCAGAGGAAAGGTTTGTATGTTCAGATGAGACATCTGCGGTATTGAACATCGTGGCAGATTGATTCAACGGTTGGAGATACTCCAATGCAATAACAATGATGACCTATTGACGTTATGGCTAGTTTTCTTGGTCATCTGAAGTTTTCGGAGGTTGGATATCTATTTTCGTTTGCTCTTCCTTCTCTTCTTCATCGCTGGCCATTTTTTCCCCCTCATTGTTTTTGAATTTGCTTCTGGTTAAGTTATTATCTGTATAATTTTTCCTACTTATTTTCGATTATTCGACTGTTCGAATAAAATCCGAATTTCAACGAAAAGACGGTCAAAAATGTCGGCCGAATATCATCGAGTTGATAACGATGAAAAGTTCATCGATGTATCCCTCGGCCGAAGATCTACTGACAGCCTGAATTCGACATTGTTGGACTCAGAATATGATGGAAATACTCAAGATGTGGAATCTATACCATTGCCTAGACATACATATGAAAACCGGTGGATGTGGCTGGTGCATGCTGTACTGCTTTCGTTTTCATTTGGGTTATTCGTATCGGCATATTGTACGAGGATAACAACTCTCAAGCACGTGAAAGAGTACTCGGCATGGTGTAAGCAAATTTTCACGATGAATAGAAGGGCTGTGGACTAATGTAAATGATCAGCTCCCGCTGCAAAAGCAGTCGAGTATCAAAAAGTTAAATTCAACAACACCATGGGAACTGGGTCACCGTATGTGGGCTATGGACCCGATGTTGATAAAGCATGGAGTGCTATTTCATATGATGGTAGATTTACTTAACCGCCCTCAATATCAATTTACTGAACTGATTTGTATAGTTGGCGATCAAATGATCTTACCAGATCAACTTGACAAGATTGGGATGCCTAACACGCATCTGAAAGTCAAAGATCCAAACACTGGAGTCGAAGGTTACCGAGTCGGCCTAGAAGTCTTTCATCAACTACATTGTATAAATCTTCTCCGACAAGTCACATATAGAGACTGGTATGAAGACATCAGTGGAGAGTTCAAGGGAGGACAAAAGGGTCTCCAAATGCACACCGGTAATTACTTCTCGCTTACTTAGCCCTTTGTTCATGAGCATCCTAACAACCAATTTTCAGATCATTGTCTAGAGATTCTACGCATGAATGTACAATGCAATGCAGACGTTGGGGTTTTCACACTTTACATGGTAGAAGACGATCCTCTTCCATGGCCAGAACTCAATTCTTGGCATGTTTGTAGGAATTTCGATGCCATTGTAGATTGGGCCATGGATAATTCGGTAGGAATCATGGAAACGCATGATAATAAGACGGATGTCAATGGTTCTACTTCATAGACACTCGAGCTTTTGTATACATAATTAAGAATTCCACAATAGATATTTAATACTGGAGCTGCATCCGAACCATTTGATTTCAGGGGTGAAGTGATTCCTACTTGGCTCGTGGTTACCGACCCTCTAATCGTCCGAATTATTTTGATGGAAATTTTAATACCTAGATGCTCACGAAAGTATAACAATGAAGGACATCAAAATCAACCACAATACAATTCTTTCATCGCATCCCCCACCATGTCGAATATCAAACTCCTACCCCGCTTATCTCACCCCTGGATCGGTAGTTATCCACACAGGGATTCCCCGACAAGTCATGTTTTAGAAGTCGATGTTTTACATCAGATCAAGACTAAAAATACTATTCAACGGTTTAATCCTATTAAGCTAGCCAAGACGATAGCTATAATCGGGTAAAGGGAGAGTGGAAAGGGAAGTCGTGCCGATGTTTGTATCATGTCGTTGTTACTTCATGCATCTTGTATGATGCCAGTATGAAAGCGCTGTCGAAAATGCGGTGATGTGGAACGTTGGATAGAAGATGAACGGTTGGTGGGACTTGTGAAACTGGAAATATGGGTGGAGAGGGAAAGGAGTGGGAATTCAGATAATGACAAAGTGATGGAAAGCTTCATGGTGTGGTTTTATTGATTGATCCCGTGAAGCTCATCTTATTGTACTGCACTCTCATCGTCACTTTCTGGATTCTGTTTCTCACGCACAACGAGAACTGGCTCTTGTGTTTATTTCTTTCAATCTTCTCCAATGACCTGTCTACTTTGAGTGTAAAATTCCTAAACCTCCAATTTTGTTAGAGCTGGTTCTCAATTTCCATTCCCCCCTCCTATATCTCCATTTCTCCAAAGACAACCAAAATATTCCAAAAAGAAAAAAGAAGAGAAAATGTCTCCCAAAGAATCCACCCGTATCTACCAGTCCATCTCCGAGATGGATATTGAAGAAGTCGATCTTGAAAATGAGTCTGACACTACCCTCGGATCACATGAAAAATACACATTCTCAAAAAGTTCTTCCCCTTCGCATTTCCGTAAGATATTTAACGATAAAAAATCCTGCAGGAGATTGAATATTGTTTTAATTTGGGCACGATGGGGTGTTGTTATTGCGATGCAGAGTTTGATCGTATTTTTGTTATTGAGGAATGGAAGAAAGAGCGAGGAGAATAATGAGGAGGGCTGGGTACCAGCCGACACAGAAACTGGCGGCGATATTAATGGGCTTTATGTTCCTCGTAGGTCCATCTGTTATTCTTTCGAAGAGAGTGATGCTAATTCTTGTTATAGAATCTCATAAATGGACACTCCTTAAAGGAGAAGAATCATCTTTCTTTCCAAATATGACAAGTAATGATGATCGAATGCAAATTCGTCATAACTGGGATATGTTAATGCCATGTGAGTGATAAAGGAACAAAGAGAAGGATCAAGAATCAAACTGACCTTGAATAGTGGGTAGTGGAACTGTCAAAATTCCCGATTATGAACAACATCCCATGTTAGGTAAACCTATCGTCGATGACCCTATCCGTTCCGGTCCTATATTCGAAGCGTCATGGACCCATGCCTTACATTGCGTATATTGCCTTCTCTTGTGTTCTAATGAATCTCTTCACTGACGACCATAACAGCTTTACTATACAGTAGACACCTATCATCAACTGGTCCTCTCTTCCGGTCAAACTTTTGGATTCGACGGCGCTCGAAATGACATGCATGCCTCGCATTGCTTTGAATATTTGCGCAATCAGATATTGTGTATGGCAGATATGACGCTGGAGGGAAGTGAAAGTGTGCTTGACGCTACGGGGGAGGGACAAGCACATGTTTGTAGGAATAGGAAGGAGGCTATTGAGTGGATTGAAGAGAGACGGATGGATGACATCCAGAGTATTGTTGGACCTTAAGATTGGGATGAAGTTGTATGGATTATTTGTGGTGTAAGTAGAAGGCTTTAGACGGAAATTGTATTCACGGCTAGATGAAAACTGTTCAATCTCTGGCATATGCTCTTATGTATCAATATGAAGTCATCTGTTACCCGAAGTTGATTGGCATTGAATAGAACTTTGAAGCCTCTTGGAACAACGAATCAAGTCACGTCAGCGAAGGTATGAGCTTCGATATCAGAACCGGGATGAAATCTACCACACTACTTGGATAAAGCGTGGTGGGTAAATGTTGGTTTATTCATACATGATGGTATTGTCGTCGGAGGTGTAGGTGTAGTTTGAATCTTCTTGGAAAATGGATTGCTGTGCTGGATAACGTGAAAATGCAAATGGGCCCTCTAGATAAAAGCAGAAATTCCTAATGCGACAGGAACCGGCTTCTGGAAGGCGATGTATCCTTTTTCCCGGAAGAATGTCCATTACTTCATTACATGCGGGCAACTCGAAACAGTTTTCGATCGGAAATTCGTTTGTCTCTGCTGGTGTTACTCTCTTGAGATTCTCCCGTAATACTACTGTAGAATCCGGGCTCTTACCTCTCCAATGCCAAAGAGCCCAAGAGCCTATATAGCGCGCAACTTTCAAATAAGTCTTCGACTGACCATACCTGCCCCGTGCAAAAGCCCGGTCGAGTAGATCGCCTTTTGCAAAAAAGTTCGGTTTACATCCCCATGCAGTTGTCTTGGTATTGTATTCAGAAATCCGAACTTCCTCTAGTAGCGAAAATAGTTCTACAGAATCCATCATAATAGCGCATGTTGTGGCAAGTTCGAGTATGTCGTAAGCATGGCTCGGGTGTAATGGCTCCGAAAGCAAGGCTTCCACAACTTGGGGACGATTGTAGATGACAGCCCATACCAACGGAACGGTCGCTTTGAGCTTTTCATGGTCATGGCTATAAGGCCAGAGATACTCCTCAATTTCATGAGGAAGATTTGGCAAGTCTTGAGCTGCATATTTTCTCCAAAATAGCTTGCGAGCGCCGAGGCGGATGACCATCTGAGGCATATCTTTCGCAATTGCCTGTGTTAAAAGCCAATCTAGTTGTTCGCAGTTAGGTATATCCAGGACTCTATCAGCCTTCTCAGTAGCATCGAACATTAAACCAATAACCGATGGTTTGAGTTCCTGGGGAATCTCTGGCTTTCTGACAATATACTCAATGAGAGGAATCGGGCCTCCGTCCTCAGCTTCATTTGATCGAGAAGGTATTGACTGAAGCCAATAGTATGATACTCCGTATCTATCAGTAAAAAGTAAATACCGAATGATATAAAGTTGCGAGAATTTTATCGCTGCCGAAAAGGCGACTTTTCTTTCAATTATTTCTTCGTCATAATTTGTGTGTGATTCATACCCAAGTATCATATCAAGAGAACTGTAAAGACCTAAAGAAGCTGCTGTCACGATAATTTCATGCCTACATTTTCTGACATCTTGCTTGTAGGACTGATCATCGATGCCAAAAAATGGAGATGAGCCATGACTTTCCCAATCACTCCTATCCAGGAACACAAGGAAGCGCATTAATATTGCAGAGTCACCAAACTCAACAGCAGCTTTCAGATCTCTGCTTTGAATAGCAACAAGCCTAGCTTTGTTTGATACTGGACAGCTTTGCGTCAACAAGTAATCGGTTATTCCATCGCACGGGAGACCTATTGCTCGTTCTAAAGAATTGAAATAAGTTCCTTTGTACTCATAAGATACCCATGCGCAGAGTTGGATATCTAGCTGAAATTCTTGTACAAGCATAAGATGGCCATGAATGGTTGCTTCCAATTGAAGATGTGAAAACACAAGTGACCACAATGTTGGACATGTCCCAGTCCCAACAAAGTCAGGTATCAGGGTTTTATCAATGAACTCAACACATGTATTGAGAATTTCAGTATTGCCTTCTCTGCAGGCGATTATCATCTCGCTATAGAGCCAGAAAAGACAGTCCGTTTTCGACGATACTTCTTCGAGAGAACGATTTTCCAATACTTTGAGACTTTGATTTGATATGTCGATTCCTCTTCGCTTCCCATCCACTTCGTGATATTCTATGGTGTTCCAAAACAGCAAACATGCCTCGCCAATGTAATCAGAAGTTCTCTGATCATTTGCTAAGACTTTCTTCAGTAAGGGTAGGTGTATTTCGGCCAGAGCCCAGCACAAAGGTACAATCTTGGCACACTCCCCAGAAGAAAATTTGACCCAGGGTTTGATGGAGAAGGTGGGTTGTTTCTTGAAGAGGAGATTTTCGAACAAGACGCCCATTCTCCAACTCTCCTCTGTAAAGTCTTTAGTGTGTGAAAGCCAATTTTCTTTCAGATAAGCGATCAACCGATACTTGTCGAGAAACTGCTGGTCGGCAGTTCCATGCTTTGGTATATATTGAGAATAGTCAATATTACTGTGATTGTTTCCGTTGAACTTTCGAAACATGAAAGCGGCTTTGGCGGCTTTGGCCGGAAAATTCGATGACTGTGAAGCCCTCGGTATCAAAGACTGGGTCGTAACGGCGTCCTGTAAAATCGTCATGTTTGGAGTGATAATATCATGGTATACCGTGACTTGTGCTTCGAGATCAGTGAAAGACAGATAAGTCACACACGTTACACTCAGTGCTCTGTTTGACTCTTCCCTTGTGGTGTGAAAGTATGCCAACTCGGAATTTTGCGAATTTAGAATGTACTGTTCAACTAATGAAGTGTCTTACGTTCAGCTACTGTTGATATCTCGCGCAGTTTGCTAACGAAGGAAGTAAACAAATAGAGACCCCCCAACTCTCTCGCACGATTTGATGTATAGAACTTCTTACCTGTATAGTGCGCAAGATGCACCTCTAGGGTGTCTTCATCAATCACAATAAGATTTCCGCAAGCTCTAATTAATCTTCGAAGGTCATTGGGTATCCTCGTAGCATCCCATGATTTATCGCCAGCAGTGAAAGCTATAGCTTCCCGGAGCTCATCCATGTGCAATGGTCTGCATGAGCAAATAATCTAGTCAAACATCCTTTTCACAAATTCACGCCTTTCGATCTCGATGATCCGTCCAAGAAGTCGATCATAAGTCTCTTCAAGATTGCGAGGAAGATTCTGTAGAGCCTTTACTATTGTTGCATCCGTTTCCATACGACAGAGTTCCTCAAGCTGGAACTGGACCCAAAGAAACCTTGAAGCAAGTTCAGCATACTAACATAGCGGAGTTGGAAGAAAACACTCACATTCCTTTTGCACCATCTCTGAGAACGTTGAAGATATCCTCTCCAAGAGCCAAGTTACCCAGCACTAGGCCGCCAGACGTGATCAGCTCATCAATAGCATGTCTGATATACGCTTCAATATCTGGAGAGATAAAACTCGTTTGAAGGTGCACTTTGAAAGTTGTGAGACCGGATGAAGATTGAAAAAGATAAGTAACATCCTCGCGACTGGAAACAGATAACTTGACTGGAGATGTTACCTCATTGAGGATCTTTCTCAAGATTTCGAAAGTAAGCTTTCGATCGGACTCAGGCAGTTCGTCTAGACCATCAATAAAAATAGCCACACTTGATAGCTTGTCTATCGCTTTTATCAGCAAATCGACTATTTGATCTAGGCTAGGTGACGATGCTTCATCTGAATATTCAGCCTCGAGGATGGCTATCAAAGTTTCAGGAATCTCATTCATGTCACGAAATAAATTCTGAGAAATGAAACTAAACAGACCATTCGGGGAAAGTGTTCTCTTGTCGGCATAGTCGCAATAATAATAGGAAATGGCAGTTTCGGCAGGAAATGCCATTTTGTAGCCGTCTATAAGGCTCGAAACCAAGACCGATTTGCCGGAGCCAGCTGGTAGGATTTAGCATTTATCAATCTGAGAGCAATACTTGCAGCTTACGGATACCATAACATGACATGACAGAACACTTTTTCTGGGTTCTCCAATTACTGAAGTCGGCCATGCGGGCTAGCCAGCTCCCAGTTCCATGATGCCGTACCTTCTGCAGTCGACGATGCTTGTTTCTGCAATCAACTGTGGCCATTTGAGAGATGATCTTTCGTAGCCTGTCTCCTAGTCCGTGGTCAGAACACAAAAGAACCTTACCGTAGCCTCCAATACCACCTACTTCGTTCTTGTTCTTTGCTCCGAATTCTTTCTCTCAATTCAAGTTCTCTTGACTCTTTGGCTTCAATATAATGGCACATCTGAGCTTCAATTTCAACCGCTTCACGGTGCTCTCTAAATGTTTGCACAGCATTGTCAAGTTGCGCTCCATGAGATGTGGACAAGGGAGATGTCAGACGCTTTACGAAGGAAGAGTTTTGCCCATTCAGTATGGATTTGAACTTTGAACAAAGAACTATTATGTCGAGGTATGCTGCTGACAATGTCTGTGTAAACTTTGGATGTTTCTCCTGGTCAAAAATTGCTTGGTAATCGCCTATCTTGGGGAATTAGAATGCAAAGAGTATCTCAAGGAATTATACTTACGCAATCGGGGAAGTATATCTCCCACGCGAGCAAAAGTGTCTATTATTCGATCGTAAAATTTTCCATGGCTGCTAGCCAGAACAAGTATAACTCGAAGACTCCCCCATATTGGAGCAAGATATAATGGAGCAATGTTACTGAAAGTATCCATCGCCGCGCCATAATCTTGAATTGATTTCGTCAAAGGCCCAAGAGACCTCAAAACCGCTCGAGTTTTGCTGTTTTTCTGATCGACCTTCTGGATATTGCTGGATTTGTAGTAGAGATTCTCTGGTGTAGCCTCATTAAATAGTGCCCGCTCTGCACGATCAAGTTTTTCTACGAAGCGGTCCCTGGCAATGAGCCATGGGTCATGAGTGGTGGCCGAAGTTGTTACAGGAGACGCCATAGCGGGAGAATTGTTGAGTTGAAGAACTTGTTTTGGATGCCAAAAGGAAGGAAAGATTTATCTCCAAATATTGATAAGAGCAGCATCTTGCGTTTGGGCGCAGCACGCCTCATCAGCCTTGTGGTGCATGTAATCTTTAAGGCCTATGCATGATTGAAGTGGCAACAGCCTCCTCACTTATGCTGGGCCGTGGTCATTTGAGAGGCAGTGACTATCGACTTCCAGTCTTGGGCCAATGCCATTCATTACCCTTAAATTACTTCTGTTCTTGGTTGGGATTTTTGATTCTTCGGATGAGATCGCCGCGAACATATGGGCCAGTACAGATCAATCGCTTTCAACCCTTCTCTTGCATACTTATTGAATTCCCATTCCAATAAATCTTCCATACCTTGGACTGCGAGCAAAGCAAAGTTTGTCCTAGGCAGGAAGGACACGCAAAAATTGCCCATGTTCTTAAGAGCAAGAATGAATGGACGTTCCGCGATTTCAACAGCAATAGTCCATTTCGTTTCCTGCAGTCTTCAAGAATTGTCTTATCCTGATGCGACAGGGAGTGGGACACACAAAGCCAGCTATTAGTTCGGCAGTGCATACTTGAATGCAAAACTTCGCGCGAGATGATTCGTCGTCGCCAGTGCGACACACCAGAAATTTAAACAGGAAAGGACACACTCGGTTGAGAAGTGACCACTTGAGGTTTTATCCGGAGTGAATATGGAGACAGCACCGTTCGTGTCGCACGGAGCAACATCCTGTCATGTTTTGCGATAAGATCTTAATATCAATTGATAAAACCGTTTGGTTACTTCTGTCGCAGCTGCATGATATGCCATGTATATGTTCGGTCTTGAGACATACCAAAAATGACTGTATCCTTTTCTCTGTTACGAGTATTCTGGCAGATTGTTTTTGTGCTACGATAGTCCAGTCATTAAAGCGCTTTAATCTTCTATCTTTATCGCTCCTAAATGTTGCACGACAGGCCCACCCGTGGAGAGTTTCCTTAACTGCGTTGCATGTACTCAAAATCACCACATTGTCAACTCAACATGTGGCATATATCGACACTCCAATTCGATCAATTCCGCCGTGCGCCGATATCTAATCCCCGGCTGTTACCTACGGTCGGAAATGCGTTCGGATCCACTCGCGAAAGACACCCCCATTTTCGAGCCTCGCTTGGAACACAAAGTTCATCACCGCAGACCTGAAACTCACATTTCCAAATTTCATCACGAGAATCGAGGCACCTGCCTGACGGCTTCGTCTGGCCCTTGCAACAAAGCTGTTCCGGAGACCGGGATCAGCTCCACACCCGCGCGAAGAAGTTTCCAAGAACTTTGTTTGGTACCGAGAAGCTCGCCCCATATCTTAATGCCGTACTTGGAAAAAGTTAAGATGCAGCCCCGTTTTCCGGGAGTGATTGTGGATTTGCTCGGTACCATGAACAGAAGGTGCAGGAAAGTAAGACTGTCTGTGGTGAGACATGCAAGACGCGTCAACGAAAATGGAATTCTGAGGACCGCATATCACATATTGTCATTTTATATGATTCCCTCATATCGAAGCTCAGACAGAGATGTCATCAATTTAGCCGCAGTAATTTGCGAGGGCGAAAAAAAGGCCATTAATTTACCAGCCGGAATTGATTGGTATAAGATGGCTAAGTGCGAAAGCTCAGGGAGGATATTATCCTTGAGTTGAATCAAAGGGATGATATGATATGGAAATTTCGGATGCCATGTGAAAATAGGCTGGGGAAAGGGTTCTTCACCCACTGTTGAAAGTGGAGAATTGTGAATATCGAACAATCTGGATCCCGGATGGATTCGGTATCACAGTGTGGCCCGTCACTGCCCGGTAACCTCAGCTCTCCGCATACCACGACAATTGTGCTATCACAATTCTATCATTAGCTGTGGCGTGATAATGATTGAGAATGGCGGCAATGAACCTATTCAGCCGCGGCATGAGTAGTCGTTGCGGGAATAATCGATATCGAGCAAAGAGCGAGACTACTGCCAAAAAGATTACCCAGAATGGTCGATGGTTCTGATGGCTTGACCCTCGACTCAGAGCATCAAAACACCTCTCGAGGAGATGAGTCGCTTGGACTTTCGAGGCTTGGACTGTTGGTGAAGTCTTAGCAGTTCATCCAGACTATGAGTCTTCAAAACCCCTCATCTTCAAGGCTAGTAAGCGCCATTTTAGATGGAGGTTATGACTTTATTTCAACGAGGTACCTCGGTAATGATCGACATTCACTTGCAAAGGACTGATGTTCTGGAGATACTCCAACCGAAATCGAGTTTCCTGGTCTACCTTTGGAAATCCTCTCTCAGAGGTACCAGCTAGTTTTCCTCTTCCTATCGCTTAGGGCGGAGAAAACGCTCCTGATCTCATACACTGAGACATCGTGCCAAAGTCAAATTATGAGATGTGAGCCATCACCTCATGCAGACATCGACATCTCAACCTAGAGCAAGAAATTAAATGAACCGGATCTACCACAAGCACCGATCTACTGGTCCCCAAAAGTAAAGAAAATGACTATTTTCCCGCCACCCCCGCGCACGGTATCTATCATCAGTGCACCGCCGGCATTTGGAAACTAAAAAGCAAATACGAGAAGGAGAATGGCCAGAGATATATAATAGTGTGATATTAATTTGATATACTTTCGGCACCATTCCGTAATATTTCCTGCATTACCAAGGAGATGGGTAGCTTATCTAGTTTACTGGCATGTTCCGCGAGGGGAAGGAGGTTTGTAGCATCATTTACCAACAGTATGGTTACGGTTCCTGGACCCTGACTGGACCTGATAGATCATAGTCTACCAATTTTGCAAATCTTCCCACCATCTATCTAATCTTGGATAAATAATCTAAAACCGCAATTCAAATGTTTGTAGGCTGTTACAGCATCCGTACCTACTACTTACAAATTCAACGTTCTCTACACTCCTCGTAACCGTGTGCCGGTGATTGAATCCAGTGCAGGTACCTACATATTTTATCATTGATTCGTTGCACCCGACAAACGGTGTAAAAAACCATCAACTTCACATCCAAGCACCTTGTAGCACCTACAAAATTTGTGTTGGTGGCTTGGTAGTGGATGTTGGTGGATATACCCCGCCAGAACGAGCTCGAGCCTCCGCCCTCCAAGTTTCTCATCCCCTCTTTAAATGCAGGTGATTATGTACAGTGCAATTTTCAAGGGTTTGCATGAATTTTGTATATAAAAGGCCCGTAGCTAGGGCTGAAGATTACGTCTTTTGTTTGCCTCCGTACTTCAAAGCTGTCCGTCTTTACGTAGGTACTGCCTTTCACGGGACTTGCCTTGGGCTCGGGCATTTTATAGACACTAAGGCTGATAGTGGCAGGTGTAGATACGACGTATCGAATCATTGCTTAGTGCTATTCATCTGAATCTTATATAAGAGTGTTGCAAATCTCCGGACTATGTGTGTTTGTGTGTTAGGGAGTGATAGCAACGTGATCTTATTGGTTATACTCATAGTGAGAAGCTGAAAGATACTATGAGGCGCAAACGCAACGGGGCAGCTATGTGTAGGTACCTGTTTATGCTTTTGTGGCGTTCTGGTGGCATGAGGCTGGATGGCTGGTGGGGTGGTATTATCTGGCCTATTATGTAGATGGATACTGCATGTACTTATCAGATAGTTGCTGTAAATGCAATATCTATCAAACGATCGTCAAAAGCACACGGGGACTCAAAGTATCAACTCGGCTGGGGTTTCATCGGTTGAATCGCGGCCTCGCGTTTTGACTGCTTAACAAAGTTCTAGTCTAGATCTTAGTGTGCTGCAGACATTGCAGCAAAGAAGGGGTTCCTTTAGCTTGAACTAAGAGTGTGGGTATGAGTTTTCACGATTTCTCAATCCGCTTTCATGTTGTCTTGATGACTCGGGCCAGTGTTGAGCGAAGAAAGATTGTAGCCAAGAGCATGAGCACAAGGTGAATACTATCAACGGTAGTGCGTAATCTTAATCAAAGCGTACCGGTTCAGGTGGATTGAAAAAGTATGACTATCTTAATTATCGTTGATCATGTCGGTTGCGCCTATATTGTGTTGAAATTCTGCATGTAAAAGATCTTAGCCTTGCGGGGTAAATGGCTCGCGCCGGGACGAAGTGGGCTGGTCAGGTGTTGGGTGAGCTTGGATAGAGGTATCGTGTATATTGAGTTAAGAAAGCTATGAGATTCATGTGACGATATCAATCCGAGCATGATGATCAATATGGGAAGATGATCAGATCTGAAAAGTTGGCTTGTTCATAATCACGGTAATTAGCTCGTTAAGGAGTTGAACTGTCCTCACTGTTCTTAGTCTTCACACCTTGTTCCGGTCATGACGAACCTCAATTGATTAAGTTTTGAAATCGTTTGACTCAAGGAAAACAGAGGGGAAAATAGATACCCAAATCATTGAATAGTGAATATCAAACAAAACTTGCCGCTTTGGTATTCTTACTAGTGAATTGATAGCTCTTGAATAGAAATAGAAGCTAGAATTGACCAAGCTGTGAGCACTGACAGGACCTTATAGGGCAGAAACTCATCAGCGATCCAGATGTGAAGAAAAAGCTCCGGTTCTTGACAATGCCACCATGATATACGCCAAATACGAGGCTAAGAATGTGAGGCTAAGAATGTGAGGCTAAATTAACAAGCGACGAGGCTCGAAATCTTGACTGCATTGATGCACAGATAATGAATAGAGGTAGCATTCCAAATAGTAAAGATAAATAAAATACAGAGTAGGTCGACCTTGACAAAACTAACAAGGGAGTAAATCCAGTTACGTGGGCCAGACGTCTTTGGAACACGATTGCGAACCGCCTTTGGAAAGCACGCGTTTCATGTGATGAGATAACGGGAGGCATTCGCACTGACATTCGTGATATTTCCATGGGATTGATCGAGAAATGTATCAGGATTCTGAGGCACATAGATCTTGGGGGCGTTCCTGTAGATTTAGATCATATATGAAAGTCAAGCTACCACAATCTGATGGATTGACATCGTTCGTGGCGGAGTATACCACTCAGAACACGACATGGATGATAAAGCTTGCAATACATTACGAAAGTTCATACTATGGAAAAAACATCAATCTAACAAAATTGTCTTCTGGAATTATCAACCATGATATTGATGCTTGTGAATAGCATAGTAATCAGAGTCCATGCTTAGCACGCGATGATCTCATGGAAATCGACATGAACATGCAAGCCACAAAAAACTGATCGTTGTCAAAAGGGGTCGGGGTGCATTAGGAAATGCTTGAAGAAGGTTACCCATAGGCAAGAGATCGATGTGAATTTATTTTGTTACTGGTTGCACGGTGTTTCAAGGTGAGGTTTGCGAAGGATTTCTTGTAGGACTGTTACACTGCTGGTAAAGCAACTTCCAAGAATGATGGTAATGTTGTCAGATGTTTCTCCTTCGGGACGCTGAGGTACTCGGAGGGTAACATCGCAGCATGTATTCTGCACGATAGTGGGTTGAAAGTTTGAATGATGATATCTTTGTCATTAGGTGAATTAGTCGACCAGTCACAACTCTTTTGCGCTTCGTCAGTGTTTGACTTTTTGCGAATGTTCTTTTTTTATGTACGCGAGCGCTATATTGCAAGCTGCAATGACTACCCGCGGCGCAGCTACGTGAAGCTGACATCAGATACTCAGAAAACCGATAAAAGTTTTGGGAGTAGTTCGGGTAACACCAAGCCACGCTGTCTAACATCTGATAGAATTTAAACGAATCAGATGAGATGAAAGCCGGTTGTTGTTCGCAATTGTACGTTTCGAGCTTGATACATGCGGCGATGGTTTTGTTTTACTTCTGATGGTGTAAGCACACTGCATAATTAAAGCTCTTGGTAGTTGTTAAATAATGATAGTACAATAGTTACTACTGATGCGGATGTAGCGATTGGTGAAATCATACAACACGGACGGATAGCTAGTCATCTCAGGTGCCGAAGTTGCTTTTCAAGAGCGCATATTTGCGGGTGCACCTAATTGAATACAGAACGGAGGTGCCGCACAAGTATTTCAATCCTCTGAAATCCTCCTTAGGAATTGGTAGCTTAAGATTAGATCGATCGTTGTAACCTTCCATAATTAGAGAAGCTCGAGAGAGGTACACTAAAACCTATTCTTGAACCTATCCCAGAAGAACGCTCAGAACGAAAGATACAATTCCGATATGCATCTAAATATGAAAGCTCTGACCACACGATTCGAAGGTTTCTAGAAGACGTCTAGTGGTTGTGGCTTGAATCTTCTTCAGGTCGTCTAGGCCTTGGGCGTACGACATATACGACATGTAGTCATTGCGGGATGTGTCATTTATGGAGTGCATTTCTTGTCCCTTGACTCTTGTCATATTACAATAATGCCTATCGAAAGGTAATGACAGCGGATATCACTATTTCTGTTCCTGATTTCAGTGGCGGCATTCCCGTAGTTTCGACGATCGAAAGTGGATATGGGGATGAGACATTGATATAAACCGCGTGGGAACCACGATGTCTGCAGCAAAAAATAGGAGTTGGAACTTGGAAGGACCCAAAATTCCGGCTTTTTTCTCCCTAATTACTTTTGATTACGCATGTAGCAGAGGTCGATCCGTTTCTCGTAGGGCAGATCATTATTTGTACTTATTTCATGCTTCGTGTTGTGGGGTTGAAATCTTCAGGATACTTCCACATCGGGGCTGTTAATAAGAATCTTACCCACCGGACCACCGGTTCTAACCTCAGCGTCGATTGAAGTGTTAAGAATGGGGGTCTGAATCAATATGACAGATGCCAGAATCAAATATTTCAGGATAGTGCGCAATAATGAGTCTAGTTCCAGTTTTCTAGAACATCGTCGGATTCGTCTCAGATAGTCGATAGTCAAAGACGTTAAAGACTTCCTTCGTATTCGATTCATTTCTTTCTACTGTTTACGGAGCGAAGAAACGAATCATCTATTTTTCTCCTCCAATCGGATTACTAACAAATAGAGAGAGGGGAATACAGGGAAGAATGGGGTATTTTATTCTTTTGGGATTCTTTCTCTCCTGAAAACCTAACACCCCGAGGAAAGGTTGCGAGTATCATAGAAATATGTTTCTTTCAGCCGTTAATGTCCACAAGAGGAAATGATCGGATAGACAGACAACTTATCCTGCAGAACTAAAAGATAATATTACTCCGCGACTTTGGCTGTGACTGGCTACTTCAATACGCAAGATTTTCCCTGTTTGATATACCCTGTAATTATTTTTGTATTCATGATGGAGATAGACCCTAGTGAGCATTTTCACAGACCAGGAATATTCGAGAGAATAAGGCGGGTAACGGGCGCGGTCCAGGGATAGCAGCACTGTGATACAATCGTTTGATTGGCACGATGGTTTGAATGTTAGAATATGCAGTCGAGAACTGCAGAAAGCTGGGATAGCAATATCGTTCCTTTATCATGTTATATTGCTGGAGACTGGGGATTGGTGGGGGGCTGAAGATTGAAGATAAATCTAATGAGGAAACGAGTTTAGAAGGTGATGAGATCGAGAATTATTGCGTCGAGTACAGTGTAGAACACAGGTGTACTGTACACATCTGCAAGCTCAATCAACTGCATGCTGCAAGTAGGAAGGTTACCGACATGGAGGTTGTTTCTTTTCTGGTCAAATTTATCGAGTTCATCTTATACTAGGACCCTATGGCCTATATTAGATGTGCAGCTACTGGTACAGCCTAAAGCCACAGTTTCCTGTTGATCTACCTCGTTTCGGCCTGTGTCAAAGTAGAAACAAAACTTGTCCCGTCAATTTATCAAGCTGTCATTATTATGTCACAATGATTGCTAATAAATTGGAACTTTCGGATTATCTCAAAGGGTCACAAAAGGCTTTTTGCAATTTATCTAACCTTATAGCCCCTTCATTTTGATATCGGACTCATCGTATGATTATCGCTAAGCTACCTTGCAAAGCTGCTCAAATTACTGTGTACTAGTACCCGTTCGAGCATTAATTTTAAGCTTGGAAGGGAGATTCATTATTCTGACTTTAGTGTTATAAGTTTCTTATGCAAACTACTGGTATAGCATATGGTTCACTACGTAGATCCATGTTTTCCGGAGGTGTGCTAAGCTGGAAGAAGCTTACTAAATACCCGAGGTCTGTCTACTTCAGTAAGTCTGAGCCTCTTGCGATATCATTATCAAGATTATTACCTGAAGTCGTTACTGCCATTAATTATTCCTGGATCACCACAATTACCAAATCTTCACCAACCCCTCCTTTGAGCCAATCCCGTCACGCTCTTCCTGGTGAAGCCAGACTCCGAAATCCTGAAAATCATTCAGTCCTGTAGGTATCCTGGACAGCGCCCATCGTTTACGTGCCTGAATCCATGTATTTTGAGCTGTTGGGTATAATGGAGTTCCGGCATAACATTACTCAATTTTTCTTCCAGATAAGTGCTTGCTATCTTTACTGCCTAGATATGGTGGTACCATCACTTACTACCTACTGTAAGTGGACGGCGTTCGCATTTTTCTTTTCACATCTTGCTGTTCGTTAACTTCTTCTCTTCACTCACTTCATGCTCCCTCTCAAACTTTCATCATATTTCACTAGGCTCACCACGAACGAACTCAATTACCCTGTAGTCGTCATTCGCACAATTTCATGATTCGCAAATTCGCAAGTCTCGCCCCTCCTTTCTAGTAGTAATTCGCATAGCTCTCGGACGCCCACTCGATTGAATTGCATTTGCATTTTCACTATTGGCCTAACACTTCAGCTCGCCTTTTCATAACTGCAGCCCAGTAACCAAACACGGGATCTCGAATTACATCGAATAGTGGTCATTCCTACCTCAAATCCTATTCAATTACTCTGACCTAAGCCGTGAATCAGCACAGTGAAGAGTGGAAAGCCCTTTTGCAAAAATTCCCCACAACGTCACACCCTCTGGATTACAATTAGCTCCTGTACCCATTCCCGGTAGTCCTGTCCTCAATCCTATACCCAAATTTAGAATCCCAAAAGGTAGAGATCGAAATCTCACAGCGCGCAATTCTTAGCATCGCCACCCCAAATCTTCCTTGGTTCCGACTTTTAGGATTTGGCCGGATCTCAACTCTCACAAGCGAACCTTTTATGTGTTGAGAATTATTACGTTGCCGTTCATAAATCTTGGATCGATTGGGTTCTTAGCGGAATATATTCAGAAAAAAGTGGGCGAACAAACCTAAGATTGACGGACAGAGCTTTTGAAAACAAGACCCTCTGGAACAGCGGTTCATGTCGAAAAGGTTCTTGGGACATAACACCACCCCTTCCGCTTCCGATACTGGTAGGAATCTCACTAGCTTTAGCCGCAGAGCAGAGGAACAAAAAGACCAGGTTTCAAGGTTGTATGAGCTTGGACTACTCAGCGACTCGGATAAAAGATCCAGGAGACGAGAGAGAGACAAGGTCAAGGATCTATCTAGTGGAGCCCGCGTTGCAGGATCCCATCCAAAAAAGGGTACGCAGTAGCCAAACTCCGAATTGCCATTACTCCACCCCTCCGCTCATACTAATGCGTGAAAATTACCTTCATATTAACTAACTTGTATACTTCTTCCTCATCAGACAATCGAAAAGTTCTTGAACATACTCGTGGATTTTCAGATACGTCGTTCTCTTCGGTCTCCCCTCTAGCCAGTAAGGCGAATCGTGATCTCAAACAACGAGCTGGTGGTGGAATGTCAGGAATGTTGGACACGGATAGAACTCGTACCAGGAGGGAGAGGACGTTTGTCGGCAGCGAATGTTCTGTGTGTGAAGAGCCATTGGAACATACCCTTCGAGGCGAACGAATATTACAATTTTCCTGCGGCCATGTCTCTCACGAGGCATGTTTCTACGAGTACATCAAGGGAAGCGACGCTCAATATTGCCCAACTTGCAACGCGCCCTTGGGTCTGGATACGAGTCGAGGAGGCAACGTTCTTGACATTGGTAAGACTTTCAAAAGTAGTGGTTCGTCTTCCCTGAAAACTAAAGCTGATTCCTGCTGCCCCTCCAGAGAAGCTAAGTAGTATTGTGCGTTCAGTTTCGGCCAGCGACCAGTCCGCGAGATCAACGTCCACACCTTCAAATTGGGAATCTCAAACTGCACGACCACCCAGTCGCGAATCCAATGCTCGAACTACGAGAACAAGAGCGAACAGCCAGGATACCCATATTAGAGACAATAGCAGAGATAATGGTAGCAATAGAGATAGTAGGGACAGTCGAGAGCGCATGGATAGATTTGCACAGCCATCGAGAATCTCGCACCAAAGAAACGATAGCGAAAATGCCCCATCCGTTGGATATCCAGAGACTGCAGCAAGCGGCCCACCTCACCGTCATGACTACGATGTGCAAGCGATGGAATCGAATCTTATAAGCCCTCGAGCAAGTGTTACAAGAAACCCCATCCCAGCTCCGGTCGTCAGCATTCGTTCAGAGTTCCCAACCTTGAACAGGTCCAGACAGCAACAAACTTTGACTTGTCTTATCACAATCGAGGTTCCCGACAATAAATGGCGACCCGACCCAGATGATATTCGAGGTGCCCCGCCACTACCCAACATTCGGCCTGAAGATACCTACGCTCGACCTCCATCTCCAGCCCAGAGCGCACCACGTTTCTACCCCTATGAATCTCCAGAGGTTTTGGACGAAATTACTGAAGGTTTACGGACTCGGGTTGAAAATTGGCATGGCCTTGATTTCAATAGGTAAACATTATCATTTGTTGTAGGAAATAAATAGAATACTAATGATGAGCAGATTTGGAAAATTACGATTGTATGGAACTATTCGAGTTGGGAAAGACAGGCAATCTTGGCAGGAACTGGAATGCTTCTTGTTCGCAGAAATGCTTATCTGCGTAAAAGAAAAGAAGATTTCATCATCCCAACCATGGGACGAATCCAACGGCGTTCGCAAAAGTACTCGGTGCACACTCAAAGGTTCAATATTAATCAAAAAGCACTTGAACGAAGTGACTGAATCAGGATCTAGTAATTCTCTTGGACAAACCGAAAAAATCACCGCAGCTAACTTACGCCCTACTGAAGATCACAACATATTGACCTTGAGTCTCTCGGTGGCTGAACTCCCATCATTTCATCTGAAATTTGATAATCGCAATCAGCTCAAGTTGTGGCAACAGGCTCTATTGGATTTGAATGCCATTGAGGGATCTCCCGCACGAAGTCCAGATTACGATCTTTCAGAACCAGAAGAAGAAGAATGGAATTGCGATTCGACAGGTCTCCAGCGAGTCTCAGTTGCTTCCTCGGGGTATGGACCTAGATCCGCGACCACTGCACCGGCAGAGTACGCAAGTAGCCCTAAAGTTCTACGACTACCAGCTGCAATTCATGTACCTGTTTATATTGTGGTTGTTATTCCCATATCTTCTTCAATGCAAGGTGTCAAGATTACTCTTGTAAGAGATGCATTGAAATTCATGGTTTCCAACCTGGGAGATCGTGATCGTATGGGTTTGGTCACATTTGGTTCCAGTGGCGGTGCAGCACCACTTGTAGGGATGACTAGCAAAACATGGAATGGATGGCCGCAAATTCTGGCTTCGATCAGACCGGTTGGACAAAAGAGTCATCGAGCAGATGTTGTGGAGGGTGCAAATGTGGCGATGGATCTTCTTATGCAACGAAGGTCGAATAATCCAATTGCTACGATTCTTCTGATCAGTGACTCTTCCACATCTGATGCGGAGAGCGTGGATTTTGTGGTATCAAGAGCTGAGGCCGCTAAGTAAGCCGTTTGATATTAATCTTTCGCGGAGAAAATCATAGCTAACAGAGTTTACTTAGGATTGCTGTTCACTCTTTCGGACTTGGTATGACACACAAGCCAGATACCATGATTGAATTATCAACTCGAACGAAAGCCTCTTACACATACGTCAAAGACTGGATGATGTTGCGAGAATGTCTCGCAGGTTGTCTTGGATCTCTTCAAACAATGTCGCATCAAAATGTGAAATTGAAGCTAAGACTTCCCGAAGGATCGCCAGCTAAATTTGTTAAGATTAGCGGGGCTTTACAGATTACCAAGCGTGCAACAGGTAAAGACGCCGAGGCTTCTTTGGGAGACTTGAGATTTGGCGATAAGAGGGATATTTTAGTACAGCTGGTTATTGCTCCCGATAATGCTTCGCAGGAACAACTCGCTCAAGACCCATGGGATTCTATAGTTTCTGGTCTTGAGGCTCTTGGTGGGTCAAGTGATCAAGAAGATCAACGAGTCGTATCAATAGAGGAAGTTCCTCTCATCCAAGCTGATCTCACCTGGGGAGATATCCTCAGAGATGGAACACTTGCTCATTTACCCCGCCCTTCACTCTTAGCAATCACGATGCTTCCTGCCCCAACAAACCAGAAGAGACACACGACTTGGAATAGTGCACCACCCATTCCACCCCACCCAAGCGTCGTTCAACGACGTATGGAACTTCTCACCTCCGACATGCTTACCCGCGCTCTCACATTGGTTTCTCGCGGTCAGCACGATCGCGCACAACATCTTTTGAGCGAGACACGATCCATTCTGAAAGGCTTAGGCAAAGGTGGTCTCCCACCTATTCCCCCTCCACCTTCCAAATCCCCAAATCACAATCTCTCATCCCGCACGGGTTCTTCATCGCCTACGAACCGTACTCCCGATGGACGTCGCACCCCTTCTCCAACATCTGCCACGACAATGACCTCAAATCAAACTCTGGGACCAATTCCTCGACATCGATCAAATGATGCGCTTTCGGCTGTTGTCACAGCCCCCAGTATCGATCCCAACACTGTTGCGGCTCTTGATGCGGAGTTGGAGGCTAGTCTCGAATGGATCAATCATCCTGCTGTATTTGGTCGGGATAGCAGAAAAGCCGTACTGCAAGCTATTGGTGTGATCAGTAGTCAGCGCGGATATACATTCCGTACCACGGTGGAAAGTCTCTGGGCGGGTCGCGTGAGCGGGATCAAGAAAATGACGGATCGCAGTCGGGAGTGGAGAGAGGAAGGTGGGGGTGAGGTGGGGATTATGGAAGAGAGTTGATTGTGCGTCTTGCTTTGCATTGGAATTTACTTGCGGTCTTTCTGTTCTCTCTCTCTCTCTAGCTCTCTTTGCGTTTAGATGATACCTCATGGTCGTTTACTTACGACTGTACTTTTTCACATTTTTATGATCATTTCATTTTAAGAGATGAATATTTCATTACTTTACTGTACCAAATTATCAGCGCGAGGTTAGCGCATTCTGATCTCGGTGGAATTTGTTTCTGGTTCTGGTTACTATAACACACATACCCCCTTTTGTTATCTATGGATATTTTTGCTTTCTTCTCTTTATCTCGGTTCATTTCTTCAACGGCTCGAATGTTGTACTTGGGTCGTTGAGTCTCGTTCCCCCCCTAATTGTGGGAGGAACTTGGTGGTGTTTGGATATCATATATGGAATGGGAAAAATTTGGATTTTAGGAAGGAGGGAGGAATCTTGGCTTGGGATTATCCGCAACTTTGATATGATGTGATGATGATGGATAGCTGGCGGAGAGAGTTGGGTTTGGGGGTGGATGGAGGAGGATTGTCTGGAGAGGGTGTGGGTATTGCGTGGGTGTACCTATGCAATGAGATGGATGGACATGGAATGAGATGGGATTGGAGATAGATAATGAAGAAATGGAGAGAGATATTCTTTGTCCATTTGATTTTTGATTTTTTTGATTTTCGTGAATGATTGTGCTCATGGTTTGATGGTATCTACCTTGTGAAAAGTTGTGGCTTGGAGTGAGAGAGAAATTTCTGCTGTTTCTGAATTGTGTGGAGTGTTTCTATTTCTGTTTTTATTTCTATTTCTATTTCTATTTCTGTTCGCGTTTCAGGGCTGTTTCTGTTCTCTGGTTTTAGATTAGAGAATGGCTCGGCTTCCTGAAACTACTAGGTAGTCAAGTAGTAAGTTGGAATGGTGGGTGGGGTTTTCCGTGGTACGTGGGTGGGTAAGTGAATGGATTGGGTGAGTGAGTGAGTGAGTGAGTGGGTGAGTGGGTGAGTAGGTATGTATGTATGTATGTGTGTGTATGTGTATGTGTGTGTATATGTGTGTGTATATGTGTGTATATGTGTGTATATGTATGTATGTATGTATGTATATATGTATATATATATGTATATATATATGTATATATATATATAACATGGTTTAACATCAAGTGCATCATATCACCAAATATATCACTTTTATTTCAATTTACACTCTCCAACTTCAATACACAATTTATCAATTATTTATTATACAATCAATAAGAAAAAAAGCTCAAATACTCTTAATTATTAAAATTATTCAAAAAGATAAAAAGCTTAGTATTTATAAAGCTATTAAGCTATATAATATAATATATATCATACTTTTTTACAAAATGAAAGGCTTACCATCCTATATAAAAATTCGAGTGAATAATTATAAGATTATAAAATTAAAAGAAAAAGTGATTGTTCAATATATATTTAATATAGATTTAAAAGGATTTTTATTTAAATTAAAGAATATGGAAGATATAGTGAATAATATTTTTAAATCGAAGGATACGAAATGTATTGAAAAGCTCTAGACATATTAATTTATAAAATGTCGAATTAAATTAAAAATATGTTTTAATTATATTTATAACTTTCAAAAAGCTTTTTATAAGAATTCTAAACTTTTTAAAAAATGATTTTAATTAATTACAAATATGCAAGTGAAATATGACATTTTGAATAAAGATTTCTATAATTTCAACGAAACAGGTTTTATAATAGGAATTATATATGTAGTAATAATAATAATTAATACTAAACGAAATAATAGAAGTAAGATAGTATAATTAGACAATCGAGAATAAGCTATAGCAATAATATATAGAAATAAAAAGGGTAGAACTATTCCCCCATTTCTAATAATTTAAGAACAAGTTTATCTCTCCAATTGATATATCAAAACAAATCTTCCTATAAAATAGACTATTAAATCTATATTTAATAGATGAACAAATAATAAAACGGGTTTAAAATAATTAAAATACTTTAACAAATATACTAAGAATTAAAGAAAGGGTAAATATCAAATATTAATACTAAATAAATATAAAAATCACAAATCAATAGTTTTTCAAATATACTATAAAGAGAATAATATTATATATTTATATTTATTATTATATTCAAATCATTTAACTTAATTACTTAATATTGATTATTTTAATAATCTAAAATATTTATATAATAATCAAATTAATAAATTTATTAAAGTATATATTAATCATATTTCGAAGATTAAATTCTTTATAGTTTTTAAAACTGTATACAAGAAATCAATCACCTCTTAGAATATAAAATCAAAATTCCAAGGAATAGATTTAATCTCATTTAATCCTAAAGCTGTACTCTCGAAATTAAATATTCAAATTCATACACCTACCCTCCTCTCTTTCAACCTAAATCAATAAATCTTTTAAACCCTTTACAACCTAATTAAAGCTCTTTTTTAATCAGTATTAATTAAATCTCAAATAACTCATTATCAAGTAAATTCTTCTACACCTATATTTGAAATTATACTAATTTTAATTAAAAGTGTAAAGAAATTAGCTCATAAAAACACATTTTTAAATATAAAGATCCATATACTTTGAATAATGAATGAAATATTAAATAAGCATCGATATATAAAAAAAACTCAATTATATCAAGAAAAAGCACTTACCAAACAAAAGGCTTTTAATATATTATTTCAGTAAAAGATTGATATTTAGATTTAATATAATGAACATTAAAAAAAGAGGGAATTTTAATAAGGAAGTATTTTCTAATCAATATTATAATAAATATGAAAAAACAGATTATAATACAAGAACTTATCAAAATAATATAATAGATCCTAGATTATTAGATTTTTAATAATTTTAATTAATTAATTCAATTATTATTGAATAATATAAGGTTGAAAATATAAATTGAAATAAAAGTGGTACATTCAGTGATATGGTGCATTCGGTGTTAAATCATGTTATGTATATATGTATATATGTATGTATATATATATGTATGTGTGTATGTGTGTATATTATAGAATTCAAGAGTGTTAGAGAATCTTAAGGGGTATTTGTTTGCTTGTAAGGGATAGTTAGGTAGGAAGAAAGGGATTGTTGTAGGGTTGATGGTTAGAGGCAGAATTAGGGTTAGAATGAGGATTGGTGGTTATTATACCTGTGAGGGAAGTGAGTGGGTGGGTGAGTAGAATAATGTCAGGTAGCTTGGTAGGTAGGAATTAGGGGATTGGGGAATTTTGAATAGGCTGGTGAAAGTAGTGATTCATGAGAGTAGTTATGTGCGATTGTTTGGGAATGAATATTTATTAGAGATAGATTGATTAGGGAAACAATTAGGGAGAATTAGGGATATGATTAGAGAGTTGATTATAGAGAATAGGGTACGATAGAGTGGGGAAGGGTGGAAGGGCTAGGGGACGAGAAGGGGTTGGAAGAGCTGGAGGGGCAGGGGGAGTATGTTTGGGACGCTGGAAGGTTGGGCAGTCATGGTAAAGTGCAGAGCGGAATATGGATATGATGTCTTATGCGGGTAGGGAAATTGGAAAGTTGGGATATAGAAAGCTTTGAGAATGATTACTGGACATGAGCGGGGTGAATGGATTACGGAAGGGAGGGGATAATATTGGTGCGTAGGCAGCTGTGTATGTGAGAGGATAATATTGGTGAGTAGGTAGCTGTGTATGTGAGAGGACAATTGAAAATGTAGAGTGTAAAATGTAGGATTAACCTTAGATTATGAGGATAGTATAGTGGATAGGTCATAGTAGAGCAATCCAGATCATAATACCAGTGGTAACTTTGTCTAGTTGGGAGAAAAATCCCCCTCTAGATACAAAGTCAGACGGAGCAGGTAGTAGTTGGTACTTATCCTTCTTGTGAATTCTTTTGAGGGGTTTTGTATAGATTTCTGTGGTTGAGGCTGTGGGTGATTGTTGATTATTGTTTCTCTTGTATTGTGTTGGATGAGAATGGGAAGCCGAGAGGTGAGAGGTCGAGGGACTTATGATCGATTGCTTGATCTTGTCATTTTCTCTTGCTGTGGTTTAGTCCTGTTGATTCTCCCATCTCGAGGATTGTTATTCAAGATCGACGTCGACATTTCTATAATCTTGCATCTCAAACTTGAGAATGTGAAAAAAAGAGTTTGTCGGAGATTCTAATATGGGAGATACCATCTGGAAACTTAGTCGCACTTTATTTGGAATAAGAATTCATTGGTTTACTCTTTTCTATAATTGATTTCCTTCTCAATACATTTTCTATTTTTTAAAGAGCTTGGTATATTTTATAAATTTAATCAACATTATTAAAGTATTCTACTTATTTATTGCCTAGAGGTGATTCGTTTGAGTGATATAAATAAAGAGTGGTCAGTTTATACCTAGACAGGAAGCGACTTGTTTTCCGCAATTTTTGACTCGAGCTCCCGATTTAATTTGAAATAGTCTCAAGGGAGTGTTTGACTCCTCCGTCTCCTCCCCTGTGGTTTATTATGCGTTGTGTCATTTTAAAGCACTTTCTCGATGTGTTTTCACTAATGTTCTCTCTTGATGATCTTTTTGCTTTTCGCGGATTGCATTACATCTTCTTCTTTACGGTTTAATGTAAGACATCATCTTTCCTGTATAATTGTATTCTTGTGATGACCTCGTGGGATCGCAGGTATTGGTTGAAGAGCCTGCTTACTCGATAGCCAAAACTCGTAGGAGATGAATCATTTCATATCGGTTCCGATGAGCTTCGACTATAAGGGAGCTTACGGGAAATCTGTTTGAGGATTCTTGGTAAGGTGAGGCCTATTTCCCCAGACAATTCATCATTTTCAAGCCTTTTCTGTGGAAATTCATCAAGCTACATATTCGTGATTGCCACGTACTAGAACATCATGACTTTGACGTGTCCATCGATTGAACATAACGAGAGAAATTGAGACGGGTGTAACTGTGGTAGACATCCCGTTGGTGTCCATGTTTATAAATTGGCGGATATGCTTTCCAAGAAACTTTTTTGGTATAAACAAAAGCCATACATTCTATGAGACGAAAGTTCCAGATCATTGGCTTCAGCGTGTATTTTCACACTTTCCCTACTATCTTTGGTCTTACTTGCATGTCTGACTTGCATATATATCAATCCAGGTATCTCAGCTCGTTCGAGCTTCTTCACTCTGACGATGACCAATCAGCGTGGAGTGAGTGAACTTGGAATGATCCATAATCTGAAGTTCTCTTTATGTGGTTGAGGAACTCTTTGAAATATGATGCTAGATGGACTCTGCTCCCGAGAAGAGATCGACTGGACAAGCAGCTTTGAATGGCTTACCCTTAAGCTGATGAGATTATAATGCCAATATTGCAATGTGAAGAATTCGGTGTTATGTTTTGTTTCTATTATAATGGAAGGTGGTTAGAAGGTGGTTAGAAGGTGGTTAGAAGGTGGTTAGAAGATGGTTAGAAGGTGGTTAGAAGGTGGTTAGAAGGTGGTTAGAAGATGGTTAGAAGGTGGTTAGAAGATAGTTAGAAGATGATTAGAAAATAGAAAGAAGATATTAGAAGATAAAGAAGATGTTAAAAGATGAATAATATAGTTTATTAGTATGTACATTATATTAGTATGTACATTATTTTTATCTCAATTTATATTCTTTAATCTCAATATATAATTTATCAATTATTTATTATATAATTGAATAATAAAAAAGAAAGAATATTTTTAATTATTGAAACTATTAAAAAAAACAAAAAACTTTTAATTTGAAAGACTATTAAATTATATAATATTATATCAAAAATATTTATTTAAAGAATAAATAGAATAACTTTTATAATTGAATTTTAATTATAAAATCTGAAATTTATTAAAATAAAAAAGTAAATAATTATTTTATATATTCTTAATATAAATTTAAAAGGCTTTTCTTTTAAATTTAAAAAAATAAAAAATATAATAAATTATATTTTCGAATTGAAAGAAAGAAAAGTTATTGAAAAGCTTTGAGTATATTGATTTATAAAACGATATAAAAAATTAAAAACATATTTTAATTATATTTATAACTTTTAAAAAGCTTTTTATAAAAATCTTAAGTTTTTTAAAAAATAATTTTAATTAATTATAAATATATAAGCGAAATATAACATTTTGCATAGAGAATTTTATAATTTCAATGAAATAGACTTTATAATAAGAATTATATATATAATAATAATTATTATTAATACTAAAAGATATAATAAAAGCAAATTAGTATAATCAGGTAATCGAGAATAAGCTATAGCAATAATATATAGAAATGAAGAGGGTAAAACTATTCCCCTATTTCTAATAGTTTAAAAATAGATTTATCTTTTCAATTAATATATTAAAATCAATCTTCCTATAGACTAAACTATTAAATCTATATTTAATGAATAGACAAATAAAGAGATAGATTTAAGATGATTAAAACATTTCAATAAATATATTAAGAATTGAAGAAAGGGTAAATATTGAAATTTTAATACTAAATAAATATGAAAACTATAAATCAATAACTTTTCAAGTATATTATAAAGAGAATAATATTATATTCAAGTCATTTAACTTAACTATTTAATATTGATTATTTCAGTAATCTAAAACATTCATATAGTAATCAAATTAATAAATTTATTAAAATATATAATAATTATATTTTGAAAATTAAATTCTTTATAGCTTTTAAAACTATATATAAGAAATCAATTATTTCTTAGAATATAAAATTAAAATTTCAAAGAATAAATTTAACTTTATTTAATTCTAAAACTATATTCTCGAAATTAGATATTCAAATTCATATATTTACCCCTTTTTCTTTTAATCTAAATTAATAAATCTCTTAAACCCCTTACAATCTAATTAAAGTTCTTTTTCAATTAATATTAATTAAATCTTAAATAACTTATTATTAATTAAGCTCATCTACATTTATATTTAAGATTATACTAATTTTAATTAAAAATACAAAACAATTAACTCATAAAAACATACTTTTAAATATAGAAATTCATATACTTCAAATAGCGAATAAGATATTAAGTAAGTATTAATACATAAAAAAAACTTAATTATATTAAAGAGGAGTACTTATTGAATAAAAAACTCTTGATATATTATTTTAGTAAAAGGTTAATATTCAGATTTAATATAATAAATATCAAAAAGAGAGTAAATTCAATGGGAAAGCATCTTCTATTTAATATTACAGTAAATATAAAAAGATAGATTATAATATAAGAATCTATTAAAATAATATAATAGATTATAAATTGTTAAATTCTAAATAATTTTAATTAATTGATTTAATTGTTATTAAATAATATAAATTTAAAAGTGTAAATTGAGGTAAAAGTGGTGTACACACTGATATAATACATGCATTAATAAACTATGTTATATTAGATTAGATTAGATAAGTATATATAATTATAATAACTAGGGATATCTTATAAATGATTCTAGACCCTAACTCTAATAATGTGACTAATATCTTAGGACTCAAAGACATATATCTGTTTAGTTATACTCAAATATTTACCAGATATTTACCTATGTACATATCTACCCAAGTATATAAAGATAAAGAGGCTATGTAATATCTATCATCTCTTAGATATCCTTTCTAGCGTTAAGATTGATCCAGACCAACGCCAAAAGTGTAAACAATGAAGCCAAGCCAAGCAAGCACACACACTCATTACATGAGATACACGAATGCGAATGCGGTTTGGTGGAAATTGAGCTGGCCTATCCTATCGTATAACTATCGAGTCTACCAAGACATCAAACCAGATACAGGATAATGAGTATAATAATCCTACATGAGCTACGAGGTATACTGTGGGTATTGGTGGAAATCGAGTAAACTTTCCCAATCAAAATCCATCATTTATAGGCTTGCCAACGATAAGATGGGGGAATCTTCAGCCTTTCCCTCAAACAGCCTATTCATCTCCAGTCAGATATGCAACAAAATCACGTGATGATAGTAAAATCCACTGATTCGAATGGAGATTTCAAGGTTAGTTATTAATAATTGTTAGTAGTAGTAGGTCACTTATTATTATTATTAAGCATTCAAGGCGACCATCGAAAATTCGTAGTTCAAACAAGGGTTGCATGAATCGAACCAGGATGCTCAAGATCAGAGAAACCTTAATAATAATAATAACAAGTCGGACATTGACGTGAAAAAGCTTACTTATCACTTATCAAATCAATCTGGCTAGCCAAACGAGTCAAAGGGAGGAGCTTCATTCTCAATGCTGTTGTTGTTACCTATGTTTAATGAATCTTCTCTTCTTAATTGGATACCAAACTTCATGTAATCTGGCTCTCGATCTGCCTTTCTCTCTTTTTTTTCTTTCTCTCTTTCTCTCTTTCTACAACCATCAAATCGAACCGGTGCCATGTCGACTTCCCCGGAGCAGGAGGCATCAGTCTCATCTCCAAACGATGCGACCGCTCCGCAAAATAATCCCACCAACACCACGTCTGGAGAAGTCAAGGGGAAGGGTGCCGAGAAAACAATCTCATGTGTCTCGTGCAGACGTAGGAAATTGAAATGCGATCGAGTAAAGCCCAAATGCGGGACATGCGGCAGACTAAGACACGAGTGCGAATACCCCGAGAGGAGGAGAAACATAGGTACCAAGAGGAGAAACATGAAGGAACTGGAAGCTAGATTGGCACAAGTTGAAACTCAACTCGTGGCAGAGACGCAACAACTCGCTGCGAATAATGCGAATAATGCAAAAAACGCGAACAATGCGATTGAGATGAACGTGAATTTACATGCGAATGGGAATATGAATACAAATGCAGATGCCCACCCGGACTGGGACACTATGAACATGGATATGGATATGAATTTCACAGATGGGGGAATACAAAATATAGGATATGATATCTTGAGTGGAAATATCGGCGCTGGATCTTCAGTACCAATCGGAGACTACTTTTCCCAAGAAGTCATAAGTTTAGGACTACAAGAACCTCTGCCTCCTGATAATCTGATGGATGAATTGTATGTTTGAATTCTGGGTGCAAGCAATAGACATATGCTGATGGAGCAGATTCCAAACATATTTCGAAAGATTCCATCTAACTTTACCTATGATACACAAGGGCCGATTCTATGCCGCTCTCAGTATGCCACCAAACCATAGACCACCAATTGCTTTGCGATATGCTATGATGACGGTAGCAGCATGTATGAATGTACCCCCCTTCTGCACCACAAAAGCTAACAGGATCAGCACTGTCGGATAACTACCAGAGTTATGCTGAAATCTTTTACGAGAGGGCTAGAAGATACGCTGAGATTACAGAGATGAAGGTGTGTCTTTTAAGAGTTGATTTGATTTTCTTGATGTTGATGTGATTCAGGGACAAGGAGAGGGTTTGATGTGCATACCAATTGTTCAAGCTTGGTCAATCATTAGTAACTACGAGGCCACAAACGCTTATTTTGGTCGAGCATGGATGAGTACAGGAAGATGGTAAGTTTTCCAATGCACCTCAAGATGTCATACTTACAATTCAGTGCACGATTATGTCATATGCTTTCGCTGCAAAGGCTTGACGCAGAGGGACCTTTTGGAGGGAAAAAATTACTACCTTCATCGAAGGATTGGATCGAACAAGAGGAGCGACGAAGGACATTCTGGGCAGCTTACTATGGTGACAGATGGGCTAGCTGTGCTACTGGATGGCCAATGATGTTTGATGAGGAAAAGGTATGAATATATTTCGTTGACAGAGCATAATACTAATACTTACAGATTGATACCAACCTACCATGTTCCAACGAAGCCTTTGATTTAGGGGTAAAGGAGAACTCATGCTCGTTAGCGGCTGCTTTAACCCCTGACGGTGCTTCTACAATATCATCGTTTGCTGGAGTGATACTGTCAGCATGTCTGTTCGGTCGCAATGCCCAGCACATGCTTAAGAGCGGTCCAGAAGAAGGCGCCAATGATCTCGCCAATGGTGCATTCTGGAAGACTCATAGGAAAATGGACAATATATTGTCTAGTACATTCATGTTTCTACCTGATCACCTTAGATTACCTGCTGGATTGAGGGATCCAAACATTGTTTTTTTTCACATGAACATACATTGTGCAACAATGTAAGTACAATGCTAGATAATGATGTTACTTTCTAACAATGAATTAGCTGTTTACATCAAGGGGCAGTCATGACTGCTGAGCGAGAAAACATCAGTCAATCATTTATAAGACAAAGCGAAGCGAGAAGTTTGATGGCGGCCGAAGAAATAACGAATCTGATGCGCCTTATCAGTCATCTAGATGCATCCAAGGTACGTTCTCTCGTGGATAACATTTTCGTGAGAGAGGTTTTAATGTCAAATAGATGAGTTCATGGATAGGCTTTTGTCTTTATGTTGCTTCTGGTGTTATCCTCCAGGATACAAGGAGGGATAGACCAAATCCACAAAGTGCCAGCAATTTGGAGTTTATGATGTCAGCCATGAAGGCGGTTGGAAAGAAGCACATCATTGCGAAACACTTTACTGCTCAACTTGAACTTGAGATGAACACACAGAGAGTCGATCGCAATGACATGGCAAGTAGTCTTTGTGATTTGCATAACTCTCCAGAAGTAGACGACCCGGATGTTTGCGTTTTCCCTCATACCTACCGAAGAAAAGGTCCAAAGGATGAGTCTCGTAGCTCAATTGATACAGGTCAAGCAAGAAGCATGTCCGCCAATACGCCCCCTCAAGTTACACAACCACCACCATACGAGGCCTTCTCAAAAATAGCACCTGCCTGGCCCTCTACAGCAAGCTTCCCTCCACAACTAAACCAGCAAGGGGATTCAGGAAGTGAAACGATTGAAACTGACTTCAGTCACCCTCAAACTGGAAATACACCTTCTTCAGAATCTTCGACTTCCAACACAACATACCCGTATCGCAATACTAAATCTACGGACTCGAATTCGAATTGGATTTTCGATCCAGAGGCGACACGATATATGGTAGATCCGTTGTCGTTGAATGGCTCGAATCGAGACATGGGGCATGAAGTGCAGGATAATTTGTTATTGAATGATTTGTTGAATGGTGCAACTGTGAGTTTATTTTATTTTATTTTATTTTCGTTATTTTTGTGTGCTAGGGTATAAGAGCTCTTGCGTTGGACATCAACTAATGAATACATAATTTAGTGGGATAACAATTATCAACATGTTGGCCTAGACTCACGGCATGCTAGTGGATAGGGGGGAACTTTTTTGTGGGATGTGGAGGAAACTTGTATAAAACGTATATATATCTATACTTAGATTTCGGAATATTAGACAAGATTTCCACTCCTTCAACTTTGAATCCCACATTCGTTCACCTAACTAGTTGTCACATTCACTTTTGACACATTCATGGCATTAATGATGCCTTCGGCTCGATATACATCACTCCAATCATTGTATTATGATTTGTCGATATATACATGAGTTTGAGTTTGTTTTTGCCCGGTTCTGGAATTGTGATGGGATTCTTTTCACGATTCACCTGGATATGTATAGATTGTTGCTTTTACTTGTACTACTTTTGGGGGGGTGATTAGAGGTCTAGTTTTGAATTTTCGATGGGGGATTTGGGGTTTAATTGGGTGCTGGGTGCTGGATATTGGGTATTGGGTATTGGGTATAAGGTACTAGGTACGAATTGTAGGTACGAATTGTAGGGATTTATGAGGATTTAAAGGTATTTATTGCCGATATGGGTGATGGGTGAGGTATGGCTTGATGATTGAGTGTTTGGGTTTGGTTGATGTGAGAATGGAATGGAATGGAATGGAATGGAATGGATGGTACGGGGAGGAAGAGGAAGATTGAAGAGTGTGTAGGGTGTAGGGTGTAGGAGAGTGTATGGGGGTGAGAGGCTACAAGAGAAGTAATGGTAATGGTGGATGGCGAGGTTTTGGTTGAGGTTAGTTGATTCGGGATGTGAGATAGATGGGATGGGATGGGAGAGGTCTTGGAAGAGGGGGTGGATGAAGGAATAGAAATGCTTGGGGCATGTAATGAATGGATTTGTATTGGAAAAACTTTTTGGAAGGGGGGGATACTGTTGTGAATATGAATATGAAATGTTTGGAGTGATGTTTGAGAAGGGATGCGAGGTACGTAGAGGGTTTAGATAGGGAGGAGGGAGGTAGGGAGGTCCTAAGTTTGTTCTCCAGTTCCCGCCCCTCGCTATACGACGCCCTTGATCAAATATTCACTAGAAAACTTACTCATCAGTAGGATTCTGTCCATTTTGACTTGGGAAGTCTGAAGTCTAAAGTCGGTTAGAAATGTAAGATTGACATTCCGAGAGGAGGACATCTAATATAACTTTTACATCAATGTGAGGGATGTTGGTTGGATACCTAGTCTTCTATCTTATCGCATTGGTTTGTTCTTGTTCTGTCTCTACTAGCTATGGAAGTTCCTATATCCTTTCTGTTACGACTGGGTATTTAGAATGGTGAAAGTTGAATGCGCTGGTATCTCGGATCTATACTGGTGTACCTTACTTATACTTGATTTGCTGCTTCGAGAAAAAGAAAAATCAGAAGATAGCTTGAGGTTATTATCTATTTTCCTCGGCTACCTAGTTACTTTTATGTATTCATTTATTTTAGAGTATCATAACATAGGTATATAATCATTGAAAAGAAGCTCAAGTATCGTACCGCACACCTAGGCAGTGGAGATATCAAAAACACTCGTCTGATGACTGTAGATCGTTATGTTGAGAGCTTTTCATAGCTCAATTTGCGTCAGGGGAAAGAGGAGTTCGCATCGCAACTCAGGGGTATATTACCTAGCATCTATCCATAGAAACTAAGTTCTACTAAATATAAATGATTGAATACCTTTGGCTATCTGCATTCAAAAACCCTGCGCGATATAACTCTTCTCCGGAGCCCATTGACTAGGTATCTCCATGCGTTCTCTCGCGTAGTTTCTCGATATTATACAGATGTACTCTCCCCATCACCAATCTCGCTTGCTTGATTTCCAATTTCCACTTTCCATCCGTTCTCATCACTCCATCGCTCTTCCCATTCCTTAGTATGAACCATCTACTCTCCCGATCATTCATAAAACAAACATAGTTTCGTACCACAGGCACAGAGCACCGTTCTCCACAACCCCCCTTCTCTCTCCCCCTCTCAAAACGCCCGAAACCCACAGAATCTCACGTTCGCCAACAACAAACATCATCATCCTAAATGCCGTATTCACAGCACACGATAATCAATCAGTTCACATACTCTACTCTACTCAAACATCATTCATTCTCGAAATCATACCTGGGTATTGGGATTCATAATTTCATCGTATCATAATACCATATGTCAACAATCGTCTACTCCACCACAACGAACACGGTGACAGGATAGAGAGATCAAGAGATTACATGATAAGATTACATATAATCGATAACATAACTTACACGCAGCCAAGGTGGTCATTTGTAAACCTCAAGCATCCATTCTTAGCTCAGATGAGACAGAAAAGGTAAAGTAAAGTGAAAGGAGAGAAAGAGAGAAGAGATTAATTAGTGATTCTTGGGATTATATTCTATCTTCTATTTCTTTCAGAGGAGAACCAGGTCTGTGGAATTGGAGACTTGGAAATTTGGAGATGGAGGTCTTGGGTTGATCACCTGCATGAGTCTTAGTGACTGGTTTTCTTCTTCGAGGCGTGCGTCTAACTACAGATTTGATAGCTAGGGTTTCCAGAGATGTGTGATGGGTTTGGCGGGACCTGATGCTGTGAGTTATAAGAATTGGTGTTTTTTGGGAGGAGTCAATGATTCGCTATCTCATTCGAAATTATCCCATCGTACGCGTAGTAAAGGTGAGGACTAAAGACTTGATTGATGCAAGATCGCAGACAGTGTCTCACCACTCAACATTTCCTCATTTTGGTAGGGAATTCTGGGGAGCTATCGGTTTCTCCATCACCGCAATTGCTATATCTATACATACCAACACAGTATGGAGTTCACACTTCCGACCGTTCCACTGACGCATCAGAGCCTCTTAATTCCACATTCCGCCCTCTAATAGCATCAATCTCCTCCTCCATCAACCTAATCCCAAAAAGCTCCTTAATAACCTCCACCCTCTCACTCTCACTCTCACAAACCCTAACCAACCTTGTCTTCCCCCCCATATTCTCCTTCACCAACCCATTAATCAACATTCTCTTCCCCACAATCTTTGTTTTCCCCTCCTCATCCACTCCCGTCACAAAAGCCACAATCAAAACATTCTTCGTCTGAAAATTCCTGTCACTCACATTCGTACTCACAAAATAATTCATGATATCGAAATCCTCAGGGAGGAATTCATGTTCACTGAATGCGTACCAAGCATTCCATTCTTTGTCAGGTCCGTTGCGATATTGATATATCCAGAGAGGTTTTGATTGATCGGTTTGTTGCGAGATGGGTTCGTACACGAGACGGATTTCTTGGGTGCCGAGATTGTGGATTGAGTGGCCGGAGATGAGGGGGAGGGGCTTAGTGGCTCCATCGCCGCCGAAGGCGACGTCGATCATGTATTTTTGGGTGTCCGGGAGGGTGACTATGTTTACGATGTGGAACCTGAGGGGTGTTAGGTTTGAGGGGTTGAGGTTGGATTTGTGTTGGTGTTGTAAGCGAGGGGTGTTGAAGGTAAGTGAAGGGTTGTATGTCATCTTACCAGCCAATGTAATTTCCCCGTGGAACACCATCATGTATGGATCTACGTCTTATTCTGACACCGGCGGTATATACTTGGAAGCCTAGCGCTCTTAACACGTGATTGAAGAACGTGCTACCTTCTAAACAATATCCGCCTCTTCCTCGAGCATTGATTATGATTTTTGTGAAGAGTGCTTGAGGGTCTAGAGATACCGAGTGATCGGGTGAGTAGTGTAGGAGTAGATTTTCATAAGGAATAGTGGAGATGTGATGGATGTGTAGAGATGTTAGATAGTCGAGAGTAAGTGTAGGACTATTTCTTCGTCGATATCTTGAGGGGAGAGAGATGTACTCTTCGTATAGGTCAACTTGTTCAGAGGAGTATGCAGAAGCCATTTTGAAATGTAAAAAGTTGTTTGTATCTTGACCAGACTGAGCTCTTTACCTGTGCTTAGCGGTTGTATAGGTACATATATGTACAACATACTTCACCGTATGAGTCAGGACTCACATTCTGTTGCATATGCCGGATCGGATTATCTAAGAAAACCTGTGATTCAAAATGATGGGAGTATAACCCAGTAGATACATGCCAATGATATGATGAACAGTGAGGTTGATTGTTCAAAGTGGGACCGAAAAGACGTGCTCACCAGCCACATGTGGCTTGAGTCTAAATAGAGATGAGAGGCATTTCGTCGCAAAATCTCATTCATCTCGTATTTGTAAGATTACGAAATTCATATATCGATTGAGGTGTATGATATTAGCGACAGAGATTTTTGCTGCCCAACATCTCCAGTATGAGAGATAACTATCTTCTCTTTCCTCGGTAAGAGAGCACTTGTTCAACTACCCGACTGGGTCATCAAACGCGTCCTTCTCCAGAGCCACTCGCGAGCTCTGACCCTTATAACCCCTTTTCCGATCTCCAAACCGAAGAAATATTCTCATCACCCATGCAATCATCGCCGTTGAGTTCCCCAAATAACCTGCAAGATGTAGTTTGTTATCACATCCATCGTTGTGAAGATTGCAGATCCATAGCAATTGATACTTTGAAGGTTTGTTTCAGAGTACTCGAGTAGCCAATGAGAAATCATTGTGTTCAAAGGCTTTCGATTGGAGCCACCATAAACCGGTATGAGCGAAGTTTAACTCTCATAAGTCTCGTCTGATGTAACCTTGTTCCCTTTTAAGGGTCGATCGAAGGTTCCGCCTGAGTGTCACAATGATGATCTTACGCGTTTGCGGAGTATCTGTGCAGTCGATGGTACTAATCGGGAACGAGACTTCCATAGTTTGGGATTGAACGGTTGGACGATGCCTCGGAAATCTAAATTCTTGTCTCGAGCATGGATTGGCAATGGCAATATTCTTCATGGTGAGAGAGAGATGGTCTTTTTGAAGAGATTTTTTCTCCATGTCTTACATTATTTCTCCACTCGATCGAACGAACATCCTTCATTCAAACGAACGAACAAATCAACTCTCATCATTCTTATGCATCTTCGTCAATGGATCAAAAGATTGTGATCATGACTATGGTACCGTCGAAAGTAACCTTTCTCAAAGTAGTAATGCTCACGAAGTTGTGGGGATACGCCCCAACTAGTCCTAGTCAGATCGTTAGTGCTCGGAGAGTATTCATACCAATGGAATGGCATGAAGCTAAGAAACTAACTCGGGATTTCCATGTCCTTGGTTTCGTAAAGTTTTATATGTCTTGCCTGTGTTGCTATTTTCACATTCCATATACAATCATATCCGATACATGCAAGATGCATTCTCCAGAATATCTACTCGGTCTTGCCAATATCAATCCGGAATTAGAAGAGGTACATAGTAACATATACTCTATTTGTGACTTCTGCTTTGATACTAACAGAAATAGATCTTGAAGATTTCACCAGTGAAGCAGAGAATTAACGCCGATACCGATGTTCCAGAACTAAGAAAACGCCTTCTGGCGACGAGGAAAGAACTTGTTGCAAGCAACACAGCATCATTAAATCACGCTTCATTCATCGAAGAAGATCGTCAAATACCAGTTCGAGATGATTTCTCCATCGGAATCAGAATACACAAACCGAAGAATCCTCCCAGTGGAGGTAGCCCTGTCTTCGTAGTCTACCATGGTGGTGGATTTTGTTTAGGAGGGTTAGATAACGAAACTATTCTATGTAGACAATGGACGGAGCTGGGGGGAGTGGCGATAAATGTTGATTATAGACTTGCACCCGAATATCCATTTCCTACAGGTGTGAATGATGCTTATGATGCTTTAAAATGGGTAAGTGTTCTGTCATACATGACACTCCTGGATATATACTAACGGATTCGATAGACTGCTTCAAATTTAGAAGAGCTTGGAGTCAACCCAACAAAAGGGTTTCTGGTGGGAGGAATCTCAGCCGGTGCCAACTTTGCATCTATAATTTCACATTTATATCGAGATGAGAAAATATCTCCACCATTAACTGGCGTTTATCTATCAATTCCTCCCGTCGTTTCCCGCAGAGTGGTACCAGAAAAGTACAAGAACACATACTTGAGTCTCGAACAGAATAAAAATGCTCCGTTATTGGATAGGGAAATCGCAGCAACATTCGACAGTAAGTCATACCTATACTTTACTCCGATCCACCTTTCCTAATCAATTAGAACTCTATGCGGCAGGAGAACCATCACATCTATTCACCCCAGTATTATTCGAATCTCACAAGGACTTACCCCCGACGTATTTTCAAATTTGTGGTCTGGATCCCCTTCGCGATGAAGGATTTATATACGAAGATATATTAAAAGAGAGCGGAGTTGAAACCAAGACAGATGTATACCCAGGTTTATCGCATGGTTTTTGGTCCTGGTTTCCCGAAGCGGAATTCACCAAGAAGTTCATAGAGGATTGTAAGAATGGGATGCTGTGGTTATTGGAGAAATCATCGAGATAGTGGGAGTAGATGACTGAATGTATATATATGATAATCGCAGAAATTCTGCATACTAGATACTAGATACTTCCAGGTTCTTGACTTGAATCGCATACATACCTTGCGCTTACTGGAATGATGATATCTTCAGCTCGCAACACGGTACTCTAATGTAAATCGCAAATCGTAAATCGCAAATCAAATCTCGTGCTGTTCTATGAGTTAGTGATAATTTGGATACCACATCACAATCTCCAAATCCCATTCTCATTCTACAAGATCCAATAACTGCAGTAGATCCTAGATCTCACCCAAACTACCTCACCCGATCTCAATATTCAAGACTCTCAACCCCGACAATTCCATCCCCTTGGAACAATAGCCATCAATCTACCAACAAAAAATAAACAGATCCTCGCAAAACCTTTATTTTTCCATGTACACACAATACATACAAGTTAATTCTTGGAGATATTACTGGTGGGGTCAGCTGACTATGAACTAATAGGCGGGGAGAATTTCAGAGGCGTCCTTTGTATTCACGAATATGGATATGGATGACTACTCGGTACTGAGGCTGTTGTCGCTTGTTTTTGTTGATACGTCCACGATACCTGGTAATTTATCTTTGCACCGTGGACTTTATGATTTGTGATTTTTGATTTTTGATGTTTTATTCTTTGGTTTGAATTCTCTATAAAGATGTTAGGCTTCTGTTTCCGTGTACAGTCTGCCACTATGGGATATTTACATCTATAAACAGGTACGCGACTCCGATGTCTATATGATGGGAATATACCGAATGACCATATACAATCCGGATACGAAAACACAGCATCTTGATGAAAATTCAAACCAAGATAGATTTATGATCTCAGATCTATCATTACCCGGCACCCAAAATCATCCATAACACCAATACACCTCCAACCCAACAAAAAGAACTACGATCCAAACCAACCATCTACTCTCTCCACAACCACTTCTCCAACTCCTCCTCACTCACCCCCATCGGAATATCCTCCACCCTACTCTCCCACCTCTTCGACTCCCCACAACTATCATCCTTCCTCGGATCCTCCATAAAAACCAACGCTTCCACCGCGCCCTCACTATCCTCTCCCTCTCCCAGAATCTTACTCTCTCTATACTTCCTCGCAAACGCGCTCGCGCGGGCTAAATCCCCATGACAATTACAAATCTGGAACGCATCCCAATAGACCCTCCCAATCCTCTGATCTCTAATTCCTTCCTCCCGATAAATTTTCTCCAGAGCTCTACACGTCCTGAGTACTTTTTCGGGGTTTTTCGTCACCGTTTCCGCGTGGCCGATTGCTTGGTCTAGCGCTGCGGCGCGGATGAGTCGCGCGTCGGATTTTTTGAGCTCCGAAGGGGGAAGGCTGCAGAGTGTACATGTACAGTCGAATTTGAAGAATTCTTTTAATTCGGCTTTGCGTTCGGAGGAGGGCCCGCCCACGTGATAGGATGTGGTGATTTCTTCTCCGGGTTGGATTTCTCGCACGGCGTGCACGAGGAATTCCTGGCGTTTGGGGTTCCAGGAGTGTTGGGTGGTGGGCAGGCAGGAATGGTTGATGCGGGAAATGTTTTTGAAGATGCCGCCGATGGGGGAGTTGGGGCCGAGGGGATAGGCGTTTGAGCGGATGATGTTTGTGAGGGGGGAGCCTTGGCCGGGATAATTGTTGTGGAGAGAGAGGTAGGCCCGTTGAGATTCTTTGGGGAGGCTCCGTAGGAGTTGCGCGAGTTGCTTTTCGGTGCTGGAGGCGGAGGTGAGGGTTTCGGTTGTGAGGAGCGGTTTTTCGGCGAAGAGGAGGGTTCCGGGGGGGATGACTTGTGTTGCGAGGACCCCTTGGCCTTTGCCGGGGATGGGCGTGATTTCCCAGTATGAAGTGGAGGGGTTGTTGGGGGTGTGCTCCGAGGGAGGTGTATCTTGGCTGGGAGACATGATGGGATGTGATATGCTGTGAGATGATACTAAAGATAATACAGGGATCCCACGGTACTTTATACTTCTATCCGGAATGTTATAGGAGCGAGATGAGCAGAATTTGTATGCGCAAACGCAAGTTACAAGAACCAGAGAAGGAGAAGAGAAAGGAAGGGATCGGATATATAAAAACTCTCGAGAGCAAATTCTATCTATCTAGACTAGGTACGTACGTGTCAATTTTCACAACTCAGAACAAGCATGATGAGATTAAAATCTTTTTTTTTCCCTTCCCTTCCCCTCCGAGTTTTACCTATGCGCTACTAAAGTTTGAGGTTTTTCCCCTTTGGGTAAAATTGTCGAGGAGGTGGAAACTTTGTGCGTGGGTCGGGCAGCGTGGATGTATGATGTAAGATTTAGGGGGGGTTGGTGATTGGGTGGGAGGGAGTGAGATCGTCGATCTTTCTTTTTGTCTTTATCATTTTCTTTGGTGTTCTGTCCTGTCCTGTCGAGATATACGGAGTATTGTACCGTCATCTTTTGAAAATAGTGCCTACCCACCTACCTACAGCTAGCAGGTGTCATGCCATGTCATGAATAAACTTAACTTTTCAAATTTTGTCAGAATTTTAGGAGGGGGACTAAGGTTAACCTTATAGCTTTGTTGAAGGTTAGTATGCTCGGTATTGTATTCTACTACGTCTCTACGCATATTTAGAAAGCACTAGTTACTACTTACTTACTGCATACCCAATTAGTGACTACGAAGTATAGTACACCAAATCCGAGCTTGGGAATACTAGGTACTTGCTAGGTAGACATCAAGATTCGGATATCCATATCCATATCCTAGGATTAACCTATCTGTAGGGCTGAATGTATCTCCGTATCACAGTAATCAACTAATATGAGTAACTACATGATAGATAGTTATTTCAAAATCAAATCTGTATTTCATTCATTTATACTTTGCATGCAATTTTTACATGCTAATTTTCTTTTCCTAGTATGTACTATGTAATAGTTTTTCTTCAGTATATGATTATGATAAAAAAAAAATTTCAAGTAGGTAATTAGAGTAGGATGATCCTATCCAGTGTACCGAGAATTGACCGTTGCAAAACTTGTGTTTTGAAAAAACTCTGCTGAAGCCGGATGGAAGTTTATTGTTGCTAGCGTGTGTACTTGGATAGGTGACACTTTGAACTACACGGTATGTACATTTGGAAATTTCTTATATGTACCAGCCAGATAGCTGTAATCTTCATACATAGGTCGGAGACTCAATTATACTTTGTTTATTTATAATAAATTTGATGACCTCTTTGCTCGCCCACAGCCGATGCCTATTGTGATTACGGTGCTATGATTTCTCTATGCTTTCCATGAATCTATCTCTATCGATGAGATCTTTCTATTGAGTTTGGTTCAAACACCATATCTGACCTCGCGAGCTGGTGTGATTGGATGCTTTTAAGGTGATGACTTATCTTGCCGGTCTTGCCGTGGTAATTATTTATCTGAAACACTTTGACTGCCCTCTTGGCAAACCAATTAACTCCTGGTTGGGGTTTTTGTTTTGGGAAAAAAAAAATCGTTCTTCCCCGATATGGTTTCCACATCTACATCCCGTAGAGAGTCATGATTGAATCACATCCTTTTCCATCCAAGCAATTTTTTAACATTGTTCATTAATTCTGACGGGGCCAAAAAACCCCCGTGAAACATGAGCCTCAATGTGCCTTTCCCATTCGTTCGCCTATCTCACTCACAAGCATGCGTAACCCCTTTCGCCTCGCCGCTGAAGTGCTACTTAAGAATAAAGCGGCAACAGGCCATGCGTGAATACCACCTATTTGTTCTTGTCCACGAATTTCCACCTTTCCTGATTTTTTGAGAAGCATGATGAGATCACGAGTCTCTGGAGCAAATACTTCTTCCGAACCATAAGTGATGAAGAAACCTCTAGTTGGACTGGCCATTCTCCACCAGTCCAAATCTTTACATGCTCCTGGTGAGATTGAGGGATCCAAGACAGAAACTCGAGATCCAGCGTATTGATGAGCATAAAGATGTAAGCTATCTACATCTAAATAGTCGCTTGAAGTATTCTTATGTTGTGGTGATTCGAGGGTCGTCCAAGGAGATATCAAAACAGCCATTGCAGGAGTTTCGGTATGTACTCTTTCAATGCTTGGTTCCGAGTTGGCAATATCTGGCCTAGCGATGTGAAGAAGCAAGCTGAGAATCAATGTTGCTCCAGCGGAATCGCCACTGACACAAATCTTCGAGGGGTCATCGGTCATTGACAAGACATACTTGTAGCCAGCAAAAGTTTCGTGAAGCTGAGTTGGATATGATTCATCGGGTACCAGGCTATACTCTAACGCGAATATGGCTGGATTTCGAAATTTTCTAGAGTCTTTGAGAAGATTTAACCATGCAAGAAGAAATTCGAGGTAGAAATAGCTTGACCCCATTGCAAATCCGCCACCTAAAAACTCTTTAGCATTTCCGAGATTGAAACACAAAAACATGAACACCTACCATGAGCATAATAAATTACAACATCTGGTTCCTTAGTTTTGTCCGCAATGATCCAAATACCTTTCACGTTGTCCTATAAACATCAATTACTTTGAGGTTACTAGCGATGGAGAGTATGTAGAAATCACCTGGTCGACCTCATTCCAATGAATTGGAGACTCAGTATATCCATGACGAAACATGCGGAACTTAAAAAAGGGCAATGCAACACCCTTTGAGAAGAAGACTCGGCCAATGTTTGCTGGGATGTAGGCAAAAGCATAACGAACACAACGGACGACTATATCTTCAAACCATGAAGCCTGTTGAACAAAAGGTGATCTCTGTTCATGAGGTGTAAAGAAGCGTTCCTTCACGAATGATGTAGGAAGATTGATTACTGCGTGATTGTTAGTACAGTGTTTATAATATGTCTATTGGATTTTGGGTATATATCATACGTAAAAAAGGCAACGCTTGTAGTCCACAACTAGCAGTCTCGACGAAGCCGACATGGATGATCAATTGGGGGGTGAGGAAGAACAGAAAGACGACAATATCTAGCCACGAAACTTGACCTAAAAACATGATGAAAAGTAAGTTGATCAACGTGACATTATTGAGAGGATGTAAGTATGAAAAGGAAGGTAAGAATGAGAGAGAAGTGTAGAAGGGAAAGTTTCTAGTAAGTCCAAGGTACTACCTACACGACAGCTGGGCAGCTAAGGGCAGCTAGAGGCAAAGCTCATTCATTCCTCAAGCCACTTCATGTTAGTCAGCATCATTAGCCACAATACCTACTTCCAGGAAGGTTGTTCCTCAATTCCGAGTGAAGTATCAAAACAACATTGAATACCTACCATAGAGAATCAGTAGTTTGCTCATACCCTGCCTGCAGTACTGCTGTTAAAAACAATGAGAAAAGCCGATGTTTGTGCAATACAAAACATCAAATCATCCTACCACTCTACGAAGTGCAGCACATATGTGATATGGTCACGTGAGTGGTATATCATCGCTCGGAACTAAAAGAGTTTAATTGCCGACCACCTTGCAAGCAATTTATGTATGGGCTGCAAGCTAAAAACTTGACATCTGCCTCGTCGCAAATGCAAACGCGACCATTGTCAAACTCAACATCTTCATTAATACCATGAGCCTCTTTGTATGACTTCTTTGCACTCATGCAAATAGAGCGCCGTCCATTCTTTTACCCTTTCTTTCCTACCTCAATATCAGGTTTATAACAAACCAGCATTAATCAGTACAGACATATCTTTCGATCTTTTAATTTCGGATTAGGAAGATCAATATGTCTGCGCCCACTGCAGCTCAAGCTGAACTCATCAGGTATGTCTTTCAAGAGTTATAGTAACAGTTGATAATGGCTCACACTGCTCCAGCTCTCTATCTCAAGATGAGATTCCAATCAAGTTGCGATGCGCCATATGTAGCAAATTAGCTGTCAATGCTTTTCGTATGCCGTGTTGTGATCAGGCTATCTGCGAGACTTGTAAGCTCACCATTTGCGCATGGAACAGTGTCAGATGTTAACATGTTAAAGGTCATTCTACTCTTCCTTCTTCTTGTCCAGTCTGCGAACACACTCCAGTGGCTTCGGAGGATTGCAAACCCCACAAATCATTACGAACCACCATCAAGGTCTTTTTGAGAACAGAGGAGAAGAAGCGCGTTGATGCTGCAGCTAAGCAAAGTAAAGAAACGCCACCAGCTACACCTGCAGATGCTCTACCAACCCCAACAGAGCCGAACAGTTTAGCCGGACCTGTTGATAGCACTCCAAACGTACAGGAAGACACCACATCTGCAAACGAAGCACAAACAGATGCCGAGTTTGCTCAACCTGCGGAGAACAATATATCACCGACAGAAACTGGCGCATCGGAGGAAGCACAATCAGAAGCGCATGATGTTCCACAACCCTCAATTGAGGTATGATTACAGTTTCACAGCTATAATTTAAACTTATAGGAACTAATATTGATTAGGAGATTGCGCCTGGACAAGAGTCTGATGGAGATGCCAAGCAGGTCGATGCGCCAGTTGACGGTGAGAAGGGCAAGGAGAATGACACTGCAGAGAAAGATGGCCAAGATGGAACAACCCAAAACGCGGCTTTTGGAAGTGGTTTTGGTTTTGATCAATCTTCTTCTGGTGGCTTTCCTGGCATGGGCTTTTCTGGCGATTTCAATCCAATGCAGATGATGATGGCAATGCAGAACGGGATGGCTCCAGGAAGTTTTGGGAATTTTCCCATGATGGGTATGTTTCTCGACAAACTATATAGCGAATGGAATACTAACTACTATTAAAGGAATGCCAGGGATGAATATGGATCCGATGACGATGCAAAATATGATGATGAATGGTGGCTTTGGTGGGGCAGGCATGGGCATGAATGGCATGAACATGGGTATGGGTATGGGAAACTTCGATGATGGTGTAAATTCTGGTTTCAATAATGGGTGGAATCCCCAACAATCATGGAATGTCGGACCAGATAATTTCAATCATCCAAATGCTGCTGGCATGGGCCCTGGTGATTATGGAGCAAATAACTCTGGTTTTCCACAAAATGCTGCAGGATTTAACCAAGGTAATTATGGACGCGCGAATCAGTACAATGACCATCAAAACAGTTACTCACAATTCCAAGGCCGTGGACGAGGTAGAGGTAGAGGTGGCTGGCAACAGAATCGGGGTGGTTATGGACATGGTTTTAATGATCACTCCCATAACTCACAACAGCTATTTGGCCAAGGTCAGCAATCTTCTGAATCATATAATGAAAACGATCCAATTTCTGCAAATTCGAAGGAAGATAATGAATCTGGGAGCGCGCCTAAAGTCGATGAGTTTGGCAGAGAGTTGCGCCAAGATACTCCTAAAGACGAAGCAGAAGGCGGTGCTGGCAGCGTTAACTCTCAGAATGTCGAATTTTCGGCGATCAAGGACGACAAAGAACACCAAATAGATCCAGAAAATGCCGCACAAGATGTCTCTTCGGGGTTCGGGAATGATGACTTTACCCCACAACCTATACAATCACTGGAGGCAAATGAATTTGCCGCTTTTGCACCAATGCCCATGATTGGAGATGGTTTCAATGCTATGTCCCCTGTAGATCCAAGTATGCGCTATTTTGGCCACCCGAGAGGTGGATTTTCACAATCACGTGGTGGTCGTGGTGGGAGTTTTACTGCCATGCAACCTCCATTTGTGAAACCTGTTGACGTACCTTTCAACGCACCCACTGGACCGAAAGCTATGCGAGAGGGACCAAAAGCAGCCCTCCCCCATGTTAGAACTCACAGTTTTTCCATTGCCGGTAAAGCTAGCGCTAGTGCGCGAGGTAGTATCAGTGGTGTTAGTGTAGCGCCAGAATCTGCCACACAAGATAGAGGACGAACTAGGTCTCCCTCACAACAGAAGGAAAAAGAAAGATCAAGGTCAAGGTCCAAATCTAAGGATCACAGGAGAGACAGGAGTAAAGAACGACGTCATAGACGCAGACATAGATCCACTTCTCGATCTCGCTCTGAAGACGAGGAAGAAAGTGAGAGAAGACGAGAAAAGAGACGAGAGGAGCGTAGACGTCGTCAACTCGAGAATGAAGCAGATCCCTCACGCAGTGCAAAAGATGCCAAGCCTGAGAAAAAGAATGAAGATGATAGGAGAAGAGATGAAGAAGATAGATCGAGATCAGCCTCACCGCAGGAGTCAAAGAGATCGAGTCATCGAAGCAGCCGTCGTGATCGCGACAAATATCGTGATAGAGAAAGAGATGATGACAAACATAGGTCATCGTCCCATAAGCATCGTTCTAGTCATCGTTCTCACCGTGATGAACGTTCCAGAAGTCGAGAACGCGAACGTAGCGAACGTGACCGCGAAAGGGAACATCGTCATAGACAAAGTCGACATGCATCTCGTGACGTTGAGGAGAGGGTAAAAGGCGACACCCCCCTTCAAACTCCTACTGAACCGAGTCATTCGTCTAGGAAGTTGTCACTCATTTTCAATGGACTCAATGGCATTGAAATTAAAGGCGCAAGCTCCCGCAACAGATCCTCCAAAGACATCGATATGCCCCTAAATATTCCGACCGGACCGAAAGGTGGCCAGCGGGATCGTGATCGTGATCGTAAACGCGAGAAGGATCGTTCAAGTCACCACACTGAATCTCGCAGCTCTCGTAGAGACTCGGAGCGAAATACTACATCTTCCCGCGATCAAGAAAAAGAACGCCCGGAGAAGAAAAAAGAAGATGTTGACCCACATACATTGGAGCGAGAAGCACGTAATAGAGAAAGATTACTGAAAGAAGCGCAGCGTATTGCAGGTCTCACAAGCGCTTTTGGCACCGGGAGAAAGAGAAGTCGCGATGACATTGATGATGGTATTGGGAAGAAGGGAAGGAAGAGGGCCAAGCGAGGCGGTGTAGCAAATAGGGACGATGGAGATGATACCGACGACGCCAGAATTGCTAGATTAGAGGCAGAGAGGGAGAGTTCGAGATGGGCCTAATTAACGCTCTTCGTGGCTCAATACCTCATTCTGTCGTGCCATATTTGAACGGAAGTTTAGGAGTCAAAAAGTACTCAGCATGAACATGGTTGACGCATGATGATGTCTCGGCTGGAAATGACATCGACATCGTGACTTTTTCGATGAATGATACAAACAGCAATTTGAATCGGGCTACATGGTCTGTCTGCATCTTACGGTCGCGAGTACCTTGGGTTGTAGGGAATGGTTAGCTTGAGTTATACCCCGCACTCCACTTTAGGGTCGATGGATGAAATGGATGATTAAATGTAGGGAGGAAGTGGACTGATTTAGCGCATCGAGCTAGTCTAGTTAGCGATGAAATAGTGGAAATATAATGATATTAATGAATTTTTAATGAATTTGTGTTGAGTTGTGATGTGTGATGTGTGATGTGTGATGTGTGATGTGTGATGTGTGATGTGTGATGTGTGATGTGTGATGTGTGATGTGTGATGTGTGATGTGTGATGTGTGATGTCTGATGAGTGTATAATTGACTGGTGTATGAGTGTATGAGTGCGAATTGGCCGGGTTTCAAGTTGTTGGCAATTTTTGGATATTAATTGTTGGATTTTAAAGTGCAATATTATGGTTTAGATGAGTGGAAGAGATGGAAGAGATTGAAGCTTTATCACGTCTACATGAGAGTTTTCTCGAAACGACAAATTATTCTCATGTCTCTTGATTCTTCAACAAGTCACTCTTATACTGTAGACTGAAAGATAATTTATTCTCTGCCCGTTAGATTTCATCACAAAATCGATGATGGAATTTATTCGAAATTAATAGATTCTAGTCTATATACCGGGAGGGTAGATTCTACTAGAGGAGAAGAGATTTTAGAGGATAGAGTTGAAGAAATGATTATACTACGAGTTGTCTTTTGATTTTTTGATTCTAGATACTATTGGGTTGATTCTATCTATATAGATACTATATTTTTCGAATTTATATAAAGTCGAAAGGGTATAAGAGTAAGGCAAGTGTGAGTGTTAGAGTATGACAATTAGACTGTGCAACGAGTACCTGCAGGGTGGATAATAATCTTGACAAATAATCCGCGAATAATTCATCTATAAAGCGGATAATTCAGAATCTAAACAGGTAATCTATAAAACGAATACAAATTACCTACAGATACTTACCTATTTATATATTATATAATTATTTATAATCTTTTATAATATTAATATAATTTTATAATTAATTTAAAAAAAGCTTTATATTTTAAACAAAAAAAGCAGAAATTATTCACTTTTTTTAAAGAATCTATATATTCACGAATTATTTATAAATAATTCGTAAATTATCTATAAATAATCTATATATTTACAAATAATCCATCTATTTATAAATAAGTGAATTATTTATAAATAATTTGCAGATTATTTATATAAAGCAAGTAATTTTAAAGCTTCAATAAATAATCCATAAAGTAAATAGAATTTCTGATGGATAATCTATAAAGCGAATTATTCGCAGATAATTCATGTGTTACGGGAGCTGCCTCTAGGGTCACGTGGAAGTGTCTAGAGATCTCTCGAGGTGGTTTAGACTAGACTTCAAGTAGGAATTCAATAAGGTTGTAACTGGTTGCAATTCTCGTAACTATAGTAATGAAACTAATGATTGTTCTTGAGCACGAAGCTCTACATTGTAATGAAACCCATTCCCTTATATAGACCTTCGTTCTCGTCTGGATAGCTTGGGTAGACTGTCTATCCTGTCTATCCACGGATAGCCTGGATAGCTTGCCTATCCTGTCTATCCATCACGTGACACTTGCCCCGTGACCTATATGATACTACTGCTTATCTAACCTGTGCTTACTAGATAACCTGTAACCGCTATCCCTCCTGTGCCTACTGTAGGATAGGTGCCAACAAAAGATATGTACCTATCTTTTAATCATTGCTTATTGATTCGGTTACCGCTATCTTTCGTTACCCTTTAATCCAACTGTCCCTACAGTGCTGTTTTCGTAGGTTCCAACACCAAGGCCTTAGGTTTATCTTATAATCCATGTTGCGGTGCGGGTACCTCCGTAACAGTTCATTCTTTATAAAATCCATTCTTCTAAAGGGTTATCATTAGCTCGAGCTACTATATAAAAAAGCTGACTATAGACTGCGTACAAATTATCTATACCCGTGGATTATCTACGAATAATTCACTCTATAGATTATCTATCAAGACTTTAAAATTATTCGCTTTGTATAAATAATTTATAGATTATTTATAAATATATAGGTTATTTGTAGATAATTTATAGATTATTTGTAAATAATTTATGGATATATAAATTCTCTAAAAAAAAGTGGAGAATCTTTACTTTTTTCGCTTAAAATATAAAGCTATTTCTAAATTATTTTCTAGTCTAAAAGTAATTTAAGCTTAGATTTATATTAATTTTTATGTTAATTATAAAATTACATTAATATTATAAAAGATTATAAATAGTTATATAATATATAAGTAAATAAATATTTATAAGTAATTTATACTTATCTTATAGATTACCTATTCAGATTCTAAATTATTTACTTTATAGACGGATTATTTACGGATTATTTGTCAAAACTATTATCCATTTTGCGAGTATTTGTTGCGCAGTCTAGCTGACTAGTAACAACAAGTGTATATAGCTTCAAGTTTCAAATTTATAACCCTAGGTTAAGTTTCAAGTATAACTTTCTATAGGATATAGTGGGAAGTGTAGGCTAGAATATGAAGTCATTCGGATATTAGTTGATTTAAGTGTGCTAGCTAGCTTACTTCGAGGGTAAGAGCTCTACTAATACTAACTAGTGCTTGCTCCCCCTGCACTAGCACCATCAGAGGCATATTTTATAACAAATTAGGCAATTGACTACCTGTATGATTGAAAGGCCATGATCAGCTCAACTTGCTATATCGTTAATATCATTGGTCACAGCAAGTACATGCAGGCCTCTGCTCGAGTTTTATAACCCCTAAATTTATAATATCCGTAATACCATTCCGGTGCGAGGTGGTCGGGTGGGGTAGCAAGATGTCAGGGTGCGTGATGGGATAAAAATTCATGCGGGTGAGTATCTCTTGGGATTAGAGTTCAATACCCTGCTCATGCTTGCTAGGAAAATTACAGCTATACTGGATCGCCGATCTGTTATATGAGACTTTTTTGGGGCCCCATATATTTATGGGGTAGAGTCCCATTGTATTGATGGTAGCATCGGACACTTACCGAAGTGGATTGATTACTATACGACGCTGTATCTGCCGAGTCCCTTAAGAAGTTATACTTAGTTCGGAGAATATCCTGAAGTGATATCGTAGTAGGGTATCTTGTGTCGGTCAATGATTGCCGACTTATGTTGTTGTCACTGAGTGGAGTAGTCTGGATGGCTGTTTGTATAGAAAAGTGGGAAGTTGATGGATGAATTTTGTTGCTTTTCTAGGCCTGGACCTTCGTTGAAGACGCGGGGGGGGGGGGGGGGGGGGGTCTGTTTAACATTTTGGCTGTCATTCAACTGACGTTATTAAATACTACTGATGTGAAGATTATTTATCGGTAAGTTTTTGACAGGTCTCTAAAATAGTTAATAACAGAGAGCTTAGAATAATCGATGACTTATGATGGCAATTTTACTGATGTAGCATTTTCATATTGCTTGGTGTAATTTCTACGAAGAAGTTCTAGCATTCTGTTTGAAGTCCAACTCCTTCCACGAAGGCCCTTGTGGGGATTGGCATATACGAGGTATCGCATGCACCTTTCCTGGGTTCCATGATATTTGTGCGCCGTAAGATTCAGATACTGAAATGATGCAATTACTGCAATCATGAAAGTTTGGGACGCATTAGGGTCTCCATATGGTGCTACAGGCTCCTGGGCAAATGCTATGTCTTCAATGAGCAAGTCTGAAGAGTCGCTAGCCTGAGTTTAGCTTCAAGAGTCAAGTTCCAGCACCTGATTGTATACTCCTCCACTCCTTGAATTGAACGATGGTAACCTATGACAGCATATTATCTTGGTATGAAAGTTTCCCAGTCTTACGATTTTGTTGTGGGGGTCAGTTCGTGGGGGTCTTTGAGTTATGGGCTCACTTCTCCCTACCAGCAAGCTAACCACGTGTTCATACCGTGCGCGTCCCACAGTGTCAAGTTTCCGCTTATCTTCATCAAGGGAGTCATAGCTAGTGGATATGGAGGTCTAGAATCAAAACATCGGATGACATTGCGCCGATTATGGTGCCGTTGATGCACTATATCACCACCTTGCTAGGTACTTCGACACAATGTCTCGGTACTGGCACGTAAGGAGGATTCAAATTCGGATCATCCCTATGGCTCAGTTTGATTCCGTGAAGTTAGTTGTCGGACTCCCGGGCATGAAAGATATAAGGGGATCTACAATAGAGATGACCAACTACTGCTGCTGAGTTATTCCGGGAATCCGCCCTGCATTAAAAGTCCGCAGTGCATTATACCGAGGAAACCGTTCTAGTTTTTAAGAACCTCCTTTGTCCTTATCGGGCCCAATTCAATGATACACACGAGGCGTTTTCCCACCTTGGCACAGATTACGGGTCATTTGCGGGGCTACTAAGCGAGCTGCTGAAAGGGGGAGGGGCTAGAATGTCTTGAAGCTTGTGCACGTCAGAAGATAGGGCAACTTGCTCCGTTACTTGGATGTGACGCTATCTTTATATAAGTGACTTTGGTGGACCCGTCTATCCGATTCTGCAGGTTTGACAATCTGACGGCATGGAAGTTTGGAATAGCCAGGGCCCCGGGGGTTCCAATCCAGTGTTAGTACGATATAACCCACAGTATTAGATGAGAAAGGCATTAGGTTAAGCCGAGCTTTGATATTCGTGGGTTCATGTTTGTATTTTCGGATGCCGAATGATTATGGTGCTCGTTCCGAATTTGGTAATGGACTTGGCCGAGAATCTGAGGCGGACCGAGGGTAGAATTTTCTGATATCGGTTACTGTTGGAACCCAACAAGGGTTGTTTAGACTAGGGTTGTGGAATAACGGTCGGATAAATTTGTACTGTCAGATCATGTCCGTCAAGCGCTATTTTGCTTGTCCGCCTATCATGTTAGCATTAATACATGATGTAGTACTGAGTGCGTTTGAAACATTTTAGGTTATACGATGGATCCCGCCTGATTTCTGAAGTTTGGATTGTATATATCTTCGATTATATAATATTCATATGATGCTATAGTAGTTGGTACTCTATTCCGGCCACATGCGTCCATTCCACGGTCATAACTTAACCATCAGATGATATTTTAACCCCTAGTATAGAATCTAAGTAGTAATAGCGGTGAGTTCAATATTC